GGTGTGATATGCAGTATCGTCTGAAAATGTGCCATAATACCCTTTTTATATTGCTCAATATTTGTAGAGTTTGTAGTCTTTGGAATTTTTTAGAGTTTGTGTGAATTAGACTACAAACTCCAAGAAATTCCAAAATACTTGGGACTTCAGCATAAACTTCTACATATCAATGGTGTACGCCGTTTGGTAACATCAACCTCTTTAGCGAATGTTTGACGCACTAAAGATGTAAATGTTACCTGCGAAGTACCCATCAACCATCCACTCTTAGCGTTTTCAACTCGATATCATTATTACATTTAATTGTTAAACTATTTTATGTTTGTAGTTTTAATTGTATTATCTTTTGGATTCATTTTAAGGTAACTAGATCACTATGGGAGTAATATATACACTTCCCATAGGATATAGGTACTCTGTAAATGATGCAAAAACAGTCTTCGATTATTATTAATGTATTTAAATTTATCATATTATATTATGTATATTGTAATTAATAGTTGTCATATATTACCTTAAATTATAGAATGATGAAAAATCATTAGTTGGTACCTAGGTGTTTTTTTATAAAATATAGTTTGTCCAGTATTTGTCTGAAAACATTGTCAACAGCAGAAGAAAAAGAAACTCAATATTTATTTTAGCCTTAAGGTACAAACTACAAGGGCAAACCTTCTATTAAATTTAAATTAAGTATTATATCTCTGGACAAAGAGCTCTATTATAATTTATACATGTGTATATTAAATAGCCTAGTTAGTACGTTTAGCGATAAGAAATATATTTATTTCATGTTAAAAGTTTAATATATTTTTTTTTAATTGTATTTATTTTTCTGTTTTGAACATTAATAATTTATAACCACATAAAATACATTTAATATATATACCCAAGAATTAATAAATACTGTCGACTGTTTTACAACACAACAAAGATCAAAATCGAAGGTATTATTTATAATCAAAATTGAATATTAAAATCGTGTTAGTATATAATATGTCTCATAATTAAAAAAAAGTATACATTGTAACTATGATTTTTAAATTAGAAATAAGTCGGGTGCATTTTAAATTCTGAACGGGAAGTAATCATTGATTTTACAATGATGTGTTTATTATTTTTTACTTTTCTGATCACATTTTTTGAAGCGGTAAAATGTTTTAATACTTTTTAGTTTAGTAGCTAAATGAACCTAGTTGGCACTTCAAAGGAGCCAAAATCAAAAATTCCACAGTAGTTTTAAATTGTGGTAAAAACTGATATTTTTATATTGCTATGTGACAATAAAACCTAATGTACTACTATACAATTAATATAGTTTTATTATTAATAATTACTTAAAAATACAATTGATATAAATTAAGTGATCCATATTTTTGCTAGAATTGAAAGAAGAATAAGATTAGAGTGAACTGCAAAATCCAATAATATTATAAAAATAAGTGTTCATGTATCAGTTGTTGCGTTAATTTTTCATTAATATATAATTGTTGAATAGGTATTGTACATCACCATAAAATAACATAAAAAAATAGAGAGGCTTCAGTATCCTCAGTTTTTTCATTAAAATTCCGCCACTGCATATAGCATAAATAGCAAATACATTATTTCTTATCTGCTAGAAAGTTAAATATTTATTTTAAAGATATTTTCCCGAAAATATTCTATCATCAGCCAAAATTTAATTAAATAAAATATTAAATGTACTGCTCTGCTCACTACGCAAGTTGTCAATTGGATACAGTTTACTACTTAGTACAATGTACAAAATAGTTAATTGTAAGAAAATACATTATATTAAGTGATAAACAATAGTTTCTAGGTATTGGCCATTGGGTATCAATTTCAATACAGCGGTAAGTAATTATAATCTTTTTTTTTACTATTTTGCTGTTATGTAAATAAGTATTTATAAAATACTATTTAATATTAAAGAACTAAATAAAAAGAAAGATTGCTATTCAATTAATTTAAAAAAACTAAAAACTAATTAAATTCTAAAAGCCCAACCTAAAATATTATATCATTGCTATAATAAGATCGCCATCATCAAAATAAATTTATAGATGTAAGACAAAGTTGTAAATATTATTAAATAATTGGTATATGAAATATTTATACTACTATTATAATACAATTAATAAAATTAATGAAGATTATTTCTGTTAAAATTGCGTCTTATTATATCAATATTTGAGGGATGTGCATTAAAGTCTCGACACATTATTTCTATGAATAAATAAACATTGATAAGATAATAAACCTATTAATTGGTAATGATGGTATCAAATAATTTATATTTATGAGAAGTATAAGACGTAAAACTAGACAATCACAAAATAGTTTAGAGTAAATGGAATTAAGTAGGGAGTATATACTATTATAGTAATGAATAATGATACTTAACACTAGTTTTCAATACAGAAATTAAAAATTAACGAGCAGGGTAATAATAGTTTTTGAGCTAAATTATATACTCAATAATTAAAGCATTGCTTTTAGTCCTATATTTCTTACGAATATTTTTTGAATAGTAATTTCTTAAATAATCCTTGACAGTAAAACCAAAACATTTCGTCAGCCTACAGGGGCATATGTTTATATCAAAATCCTACAATTTATCTTCACGTAATAATTTATAAAAATTGTACTTTAATATTTTATAATTTATTAAAAAAAAATTGATGAGATGAAATATTCTATATTACAATATATATTAATAGACGATAATATATTGTACATAATAAAGAATATTAATTATCAATAATTATAAAAAAAAAATAATAAAACGTGTACAGATACGGATAAACATAAATAACCAAGGTCCACATAAATATATTATGATGATCAATATAATCTCATTAAGCAAATATGCAAACAAAAAAATCCAGATAATTCTAAAATTCTAACCATTTTATTTTATAAAAGACATAACGCAATTTCAGACACAATTCAATTTGAAAGTAATTCATTTAAGCAACAAAGAACATGGTCTACAATGAAAAACTAGTTATAGTGATTGGTGGTCGATAAACCAAAATTACAGTACTTATTTTTAGTGTTACAGTGTTTTTTCAAAAAGTTTTAATAACATTTATTTTATCCATTAATCTATAATTGAATTTAAATGTGATGTGGGCACCGTGAATTGTTTCTAGTTGGTACTCATAATTAAACTCTATCACTGGTGACAATTCATGAAGCATGCATTATAATTTTTGATCGGACTTTTTATAAAAATATTTGGCTAAAAGGTATGTACATCGTTAATATTGCTTGTATAATTTTAAATTTACTCTATACAAACACCTGTTGGTACCTCTAAGAGTTATTTATGTATTTATTTTAAATAATGAATTACTAATATTGATCGTAAAAAACAAAATCTGGTATTTTAGTAGTTTTAATTTAGTATTATATTTATATTGTACGTTCTTCATATACTTGACTATAGTGCTTCTTAGCCTTTAAGTATAGATTATATGTAATTACAATTAAAAATAAATACCTATAAATTCTTAATATGTATTACGGTATTAGCACTATAAAGGATAATTTCATACTAAAATATTGTACAAATTATATATTTCAAGAGTATACAAATATTATTGAATTATTTGATAATACTATTTAAATATCTTTGTTATACTATAAATTATTCATATAGAAACAGAAAATTATGTATATATATATTAAAAATACAATTATTAAACACATTTATATTTTACTATACATTTCATCAGAAAATTTATAATTAAGTCTAAAATAAAATATTAAAATTGTTAAAATTTAATTAAATATTATTTTATTTATGATTTGGCTATTAAATAAATGTTTGAGGATGGAATATGGATGTCTTATTGATTTAAATACAGTTTAATGCAGTGTACAGAAAATATTTTTGAAATAAAGCAAAGAAAAACTTTAAAATAGTTCAATAAATTTTTTAGATGCATTCCATAGTCTAATATCACCAATGAAAAGATCCATATCCATATTAAATAATTTAGAATTCATAAGATCATCATGTTATCTATTGTTATTATAAATTAAGTTTATAATAAATGCGAAGGTATAAATTACATAGCAACCTATGTCTTATACAGTTTATGTGGTAAGTGTAAAACATAGACATGAAAAGTTGAATAACTTGACGACACTTAGCTTGGTTAATAAATTAATTATTTTTAATATATATATATTATATATATAAATACGATTATATAAAAATCAAATACCTGGGACTCAATTTTGATAAATGACTAACAATCATAAATGAATCAAGACTAACTATACATATACTCGGTTATCTTATAACCAACAACAATAATTCTAATCTAAGAGTCAAACTGCTTATTTAAAAGATTTTCTTCAAACCTAAATGGGTTTATGGTATACAGCTTTGAGGTTCTACAGAAAAATCCAAGTTTTCCAAAACTTAGCTTACTCTCCAATGCACTATCATAGGTAGGTCTCAAACCTAACTTTCCATAATAATTTTTATACAAAAACTATCAATGGAAAGTACAATTCTTTTACTTGCACTTTTACAACCAAATTCTAACCTATCTGAATCCTCTTATCAAAAATCTTTCTATTATAACACTCCCAAGAAATCCTAGGCGCAGATTAGAAAGCTTAAACCTTTAGCAATTAAGAACTTAAATATAATCAAAACTCAAAAGCATTAAATATAATTTTCCATCTCATAACAATCTAATGCTTTGTAAAAATTTAAACCAATACTACAGTGTTGAAAGTTCATTGTATACTATACTGATTTAATGTATAATAATAATATCTATGATGTACCAATGTACATTTTAAAATGTAATTGCCACTTTTACTAAAATTTCTGAGCTCACCAATGAATAAGATTAGATAGTATTACTATAATTGTACTGTATATTATACTATATACTATATCAGTATATTAAATATAACAAACACGTATTTATTAGTACCTATATAAAATATATTCAATAATAAAAATGACTTACCTTATTTGTGAGGCAACTTTTAAAATCTTTTTGAGCTTCAGAAACAGACACACGATCATGTGGTCTCTTAGGCCCACTGATGGATGGTACCACTTCTCCTAGATCCAAAGTAGTGATTTGACTGAACACTGGATCTTGAGATGGATCATCATAATTTCTTAGCATTTTGGAAGCTTCTAGATATGCTTTAACAGCAGCTATTTTTTCACTGCTTCGATCTAACATATAAATAATTAAAACAATGATATAAATAGAAATAATTAAAAAAAAAAAAAAATGAATTATAGATAAAAGCTGAATATTTTATTTCTTTTACTTGTATTCTATTAAAATTACAAACAATTGGATTAGTTAAGCTTGATAACTTACTTAATATATGTATTATAAACTCTGGTTTACTAATAAATAAGGCCACAAATTATAGGAAAATGTATTATTTTTAGCTTCCTTATTATAATAAAGTGGAATTAGAAAGCTATTATTTTGCATTTAAATTTAATTTAAAAGATTGTTTTTGACATTTTTAATATTTTTTTTCATAGTCAATATTTTAATAATTTTTGTCTTTTAAATATTTTAAAACAAATTTATCATACTTAATAATTAAAAATAATGTCATGAATTTAAAATATTTACTTGATCGATTATATATTTCTAATGTTTTTTGTGTACAACAATGATAAATTAATGAATTTAAATTTAATATTATCATTATAGTGACCTACTCGAAACCAACTATATAGAAGATCAATAGCAATACTTGTACTGTATTTTATAATCATTTTTTATATATTTTAGGTATATTACTAACTAACAGAAAACCAGTGGCATATAATGGCTAGGGCTACCAGGGCTCCAAAATGTTTCAAAGATATGTAAACATTAAGAGTTTACAAGACTTTTATTATTACATTAAAAAATCTCTGAACATTTTTTTTTTTTAATTATATTTATGTTGAAAATAGTTTTAAAATACGAAAAAAAATTCTATGTTTCTGGTATGACTATTTAAAAATTTAATTTCTAAGCTTAAAATTCTAGGACCCCCAAATTTCTTGTTACATCACGGCAGAAAACTAAATAAACAATTATAAAAAGTTAAAGATCCTACATTATTTTCAACAATTAATCTACTAAAAGTCATCATTTTCTATCGACAGTCCTAAGTTTGTATGAAATTGGAAGGAAAATAATGTTCTTACATTGGTACAAAATTTGTGTAGTTATTAATTATGATCAGAACGCAATTCTTGTAATCGTTAAATATCTTCGGGATGCAATTCGTGTGGAAAAAGGATTTTGGAACACAATTTGTGTGCAGAGGTACCCATATGTGATATATCAATTCTTACTAATAAATAACATACAAAAATGTAAATTAGGTCATTCTAATTTTCTGTTGTTAGTTTTAACATTAGAGAAAATTGACCTACTATCAAACTTAAAGTTAAGAATATTATTTGTTTTTTTTTTTTTTTTTTTTTTATCATATTTGAGTAATAAGTATTTTAAATACTAATGTATTATGTACTCATGATTCACTTAAAATACAAATTATTGTAAAAAAAACTTTGTTAATATTTTTACTTATAAGTTTAAAAAGAAGTCAATTCACTCTAAAACTTAAAATAATGTAAACAATATTGTTTCAACATACATTTTTATGGTTAGTTAGTAGACAAAAATAACATATTTTTGTGCATTAGAAATTGTAAAAAAAAATCTCAACATACTTGTTTGTTGAAGATAAGAAAGTGTATTTTGGTCTACTGGAAAGAAACCTACTGTTGCACCATATTCAGGACACATGTTACTTATTGTCGCTCGATCAGCAATAGATAATTGAGTAACTCCAGGTCCAAAAAATTCAACAAACTTCCCAACTACACCAATTTGTCTTAAGTGCTAAAATAATTTTAATTGGTTAAATTATTTTTAATGAAATAATAAACAAAATTACAACAATTTTTCTTATATTTTACCTTGGTAATTGTTAAAACCAAATCAGTTGATGTTGCAAATTGATTTAAAGTACCTGTTAACTGGTAACCAAGAACTTGAGGAAGCAACATTGATATTGCTTGTCCTAACATAACTGCCTCAGCTTCTATGCCTTAAAAAACAAACGAATATTAAAATATATACTATCTTAATAATAATAAATTTTTACTTTAATTAGCTTACCTCCAACACCCCATCCTAAAACTCCTAAACCATTGATCATTGTTGTGTGAGAATCTGTGCCAACTAAAGAATCTGGGTATAATGTATCTCTATCAGTGAAGACGACACGGGCTAAATATTCTAAGTTCACTTGATGTACAATACCAGAACCTGGCGGTACAATCAACATGTTCTTAAAGGCTTTAGCTCCCCACTAAAAAATGTACATATAAAGTCCATTAGTTGATTATTAAAGTACTAAAATAGTTAAATAATAAATTATCAAAGTACTTTTAAAAAGGTGAATCTTTCTTTATTACGTTCAAATTCAAGATTTTCATTTTTCTGTTGTGCATCAGCTCTAAAATAATTATAATATTTGAACATAAATTTATATTACAGCATTGATAACTTATAAAATTATATATATTACTCTCTGACAAAATCTGCTTGGATAGAGTGATCAATTACTAAGTCAGAAGGACACACCGGATTAATTTTGTTAGGATCCCCACCTAAATTCTTAACAGCATCTCTCATAGCAGCAAAATCTACCACAGCTGGTACTCCAGTAAAATCCTATAAAATATATCACTCGTTTAATTAATTTGAAATGTAACCAGTTAATTTTTAAACAAATTGTCTACTTGTAAAATAACTCTAGCAGGTTTAAATGCAACTTCAACACCTCCTTCGATTATTTGATTAGTTTTCCATTTCAATATATTTTGTACATCACTTTCAGTAACCTGGAAATTATCACAATTTCTAACAGCAGATTCCAAAAGTACTCTGATTGAAAATGGCAGTTGATCTAAAATAAAAATAAATTTTGTTTTTTTACATATAATATATTTAAATAATGTATATACTTTCATATTACCATATTCAGCACCAAACTTGGGTAAATCAAAAAAAGTGTATTCTTTGTTGCCAACATTAATTATTTTCTTAAATCTTTCAAACGGATCTATAACAGTAAGTTGTAATATTTAATTGAATATATTGTAATTTAAATGATTTAACTTACATTTATGTTCTATAAAATAAACCATTTTATAACATATCTAACTATTAAATATAAGCACTATCGAATTTCTAAATAATTCATCATATCTGTGTCCAGTATATAAATGATTATATTTCTAAATACAGCAAGAGAATATACTGTAACCTGACAAATATTGATTCTTCTATTAATTTAAACATGTTGAAACCGGTGATTTCAGTAATATGATATACATAGAGATGCATAAAATCATTGTGTTCTTTCATTGGGTAAACTATAATTGATTAGAGCTTGGAAGTTGATGATTTTTTCACATTTATTTTTAAGAAAAGTTTTCTAGGATGAAACTATGTTTTAATAACACACAAAAATTTAAATAACTAATTCTTATTTTGTATTTATTGAACATTTGTGGTTATTTTTTGTCACATTTTTAGTCAATGTTTATCAGATAAAAAAAAAAAAAAAAATCATAAGAACCTTTTAGGTTTTTAGGTTTGTTTATTTAAAAATTAAAATACATTTTAATAATTTTAAAACCACATAGTTTTCAAACTATTTAATTGATAAAATATTTGTATTTTTAAATAGAAAAAGTAATATTAATAAACTTTATCATTAAGTTAAAATCATATTATTAATACTTTTGTATTTTATAATGTAATGTAAATTTTGATTTATAATAATAATTATAAAAAAGTATAATTTATCTTGGGGTTTATATGACTTTTAAATTTTTTTGAGAACATTTAAAAAAATGTATGTTTTAATTTAATATGAAACAAATTATGTCAATTTTTATTTATTAATTTATTAACGTATACATAATTATAACTTCTGACATAATAATATAAAAATCATGGTAAAATGCTGTAAAGCAATAATTGTGTAAGAGTAGATACTTTGAAATTATCGTCTTAAAACTAAATTGACAGTTTTTATTAAAATAGAAATTGTACATACACTTATTACCCATGTATATTACAAAATAATATATTATTACCATAAAAATACCTAACAAAAAATGTATAAACTTAAAATTATAAAATAAGTATGCTTTAAAAACTATAAATATTGAATTATACTCTTAAAGGATTTGTATTTTTAGTCATGTTTTAAGAACAATATGTTGCGCTTGAATTGCAGAATAAAAATTCATAGAAAAACAAAACCTCAAACAAAGAACCCAAAATAAAAGTTCTTAGACTCTAGGAAAAAAATCCCTCGAATACAATATTATATTTGCACACAACCATATGGATATTATTAAATAAAAATATTTAGACAACATTTACAATATTAATAATACTTAAATAAAAATAAATATGTAGGTAGATAATAGCTTTGTTGTTTTTATCAGTTTTAATAAATATAATTCTTAGAAGGAATTTTAAATTTTTTTACTTTATTCTTAAACTATACAAAAAATAAAAATATAAAAAATAAAATAAAAATAAAAATAATACTTATTTTATTAGATATTTTATCATAGAAAAAAAATTTAAAAAAATTAAATATTTCGATTTATCATTATGTTAAATTGAAAATAAAATAATAAAATAATTATTAGACAATAGTTAATGAAGCCACTGATAATTTTGTATATGTTTATCATTTTTAAAATGATAAAAATTGAAGTTGTTAATTTTATTTCAAATGTTTTATTAATTAATGATAATAGATTGAAATGCAAATATATATTTAATTAATCCCTATAGTTACTATCTATCTACTAATAGAAAAATAAAACTAAAATATTGATATATATATATTTAATCAATATCAGTATTGATTGTTATTTGTTAAACTGACTATGCTAATTTTTTAAATAAAGAAATTATATAATTGGTAAGCTTAACTAACAGTGTGCAAAAGTAATTTTAATAAGTGTACCTATACCTAATGATATTATTAAAACAAGGCTGGGTATACCTCCAAACTTATTATTTTCAAAAATATTTAAGTATACTTTTAAAATTTTTTAAATTTAATTTTAACTAATGAAAATGAATACTTGTTATTAATTGCCTTACTATCATTTTAATTTCTATAAAAAAATACTATCACTTAAATAATTCTTCTTCAATCCAATTTATACAATTATCAAAATCAACATTTGTAAATCTCATAGAAATAGAATCAAGTTAAATTCAAATTATGTGATATATTTAAAATTAATTACATGAACTAAAATTTGTATAATCATATAAAAAACATTAGATAATAATAATTATCTTACGCATATTGCATATAGTGAAAAAAAATTGTCATAATCAATAAAATAAAAACTAATCAAGATAAAAAAAAAACACAAATTTCTTATTTAATTAAAAATGTTCAAAGGTCATTAAAATAAATTATAAGTGTACTTAAAGTATCATGTTGCAGCCTGTTTACAACATTGATTCATGCATAAACGCAGGAATGACAACTTGATATATTAAGATACAATATTGTAAATATAAGATGTTGGGTGAGCGGTGTTATGACTACTCTGAAATACTGATAAACGAGACCATGAGTGGTGTTACGACCAGCCTTTGAGCATCTCGAATATTCCTAACTATCTGCAGAGCTTTTGCACAGGTCTCCTCTATAAATAGTTTGTTAACAAAGAGAACCGATTGTAGTGATGACGGCTCGAGGGGTTTTGCATATTATTTATTATTCTTATTGACTCTTACAATCTCAATGTTTCGATTTTTCTGAGAAGTGAGCTATGTGTAATCATATTTAAATTGTTTAATTGAATAATATAATGTTCACACTACCCATCCTAACTCACATTGTCATATCTTATAAACTAATTGAAACATGTGCCGCCACACCATACAATATATTATATACTTTATGATTTAAAATATACCAAATATTACATGGTTTGTGACAATAATATGATCAATTTAAAATTTACTATAATATATTTAAACTATTTAAAAAATTATATTTATAATAATGCTATAAATTATAAATTTAAAAAAAAAAATGGTTATCCAGAATACAAAATAACCTTGAATATTGGATATTACCTCATGCATTACAAAGTTATGATAAAAATTAAATATTGACATTGGAACATCCAATGGCAATTATTCATTCGTAATAAGTATTGAGAAAAAGTATATATTTTATTTAAAATGTATAATTAATTAGGTGTACAATTGTGCAATAGTAAAAATAAATGTTAAAAGAGAAAAAAATAACTAATGTACCTATTCATCTATCCATAAATTGCAATTAATTTTTAAGCCATTTATGAATAATTAAGCAAATATTTTGCAATTTGTATACTTACGAGACATTTTTAGTATAATTTGATCTTCTTTCTATACGATTATGATTTAATATTAATAGAATTAATAATATATAATATTTTTATACAATATAATCAAAATTATAAACTATTTGTTTTAGAACATTGGAGAAGAAATCTAATGATTAACAAGCAACTGAACTTTCAAAAGCGATTGGTAATTTCCCACTGCCCTATGGCCAGCACAACATCTGTATTTTGTACTCTACAGTCTACACTACTTTAGAATCCACTGGTGGAAAAAAAATACAATTATTATTATTACCGTTAATGATAATTGATAAAGCGACGTGTCAAGCGTTATCAAACCGTTCAGCTGTTTTCACTTATAATATTTAAATCGTGGGCAAAAACCTAATAACTAATAAGTAATGAGTAATGACCAATGACTACTGTTGTAGTACTGTGGTGGCGGGCAAACCAAACCATCAATTTAAGGACATGTTCTATAATAATTTACCTAACCTAACTTATTCTTTAATAGTTATATTACTTATATTATACTTAACTCCTTAAAACACATTTAAATATTCTATAAGTAACATATCAAATAGACAAAAATATAAATGTACTTAATACTTTTATATGTAGTATAATAGTTGTATCATTTCGTTTAGTATTTCAACTTAAAAATAAATGTATAATGATACCTATACAAAGATTATACAATTATCACTTATTTTTTTTTATTGGCATTCAATTACAAGTCATGGCATTGTCGTATTGATACTTTAATTTAGGTATAATATTTTTAGGTGTGTGACTGTTTAAGCGTTTAAAATTTAAATATTTGATTAAACCATTTGAAATAATTAAATAATTGTTATGTATTAATGCATTATAATATGTATACTGTTTAGAATTTATGTTATTGAACGACTGGATATGAGTGTCTCGGATAGTTTTTAATTATAGCGAAATGATTACCTACGCGTTCATTGTTGAGTGTAGACAATTTACAATACTTATATTATCATTATAATTTATCGGAAGTCGTAAATTTCGATTAGGTACCATTAGTGCAATTATTATTTCGTTATTAATAATCTGTCGCTTAGACGAACATGACTCTATGGCTTGCATTATTTTTACCTGGATATCTATAGATCATATGATGCTGGAAACTGGATACTGGACAAATGATATTTAACTCGAACTAGTATAGTAAGATTAGGCTTCCTTAGTCAACATGCGCAACTATCTATAGCTTATAGCAGCGGTTCTCAATCTTTAAGTTATATGGATCACCAATTTTGTAAAAAAATCTTTGAGGCCCACCTTTATACGTGAACCAGAGATTCCCAAACTTTTTAGACTCACAGCATCTTTGGTCGTTTTCTAAAAATCTGGAGGCACCCAAGGTCCTATAGATTACTTCGGTTTTACTTATCAGTGGCCAGTGCATAAGTTTAAACAAAAGTAGTAAGATGTAGGTACATATTATAATGCTATATACACATATTACATTTAAAAAAATATATTTCAAATAATTTCGCGGCATCCTGGTTGTGAATCTCTGACATAAAAACACACACACACATATATATATATGCATATAGCAGTTATTAGAAATAAAATAATTAAATATTATTAGGCATATAATAAAAATATGTAATATTATTATTTTAAGTATATATTATATGGTTCACGACCCAATACCACGCTGCTCGTGATCTACAAGTGGACCACGGTTCATGGGTTGGGAACCGCTGGCCTATAGGCTAAAAGCTACCTATTATAATTTATAATTACCCTAATTACTATAGTATAGACTATAGAGTATAATATGTACTACTGTCTACTACAGTATCACCTCACGGCTCACATAAAGGTGCTATGTTAATAATTAAATAGTTTATAGGTACTTTATTGTGTATAAATGTATAATATGTAATTATGTGTTATAATATAGGTAAGGTAATTGTTTTAAACAAAGGTTAGGTATTATTAAAATTTATTTTATCGAAAAGTAAATATATTAAGGTTTTTGAATTTTTTTTTTTTACATCAAATTAATTTAATGTTTACAACATTTTTGAAGTTCAAAAATTTCAAAGGCCTACAAACATTATGCAAATTTACGATTTGAATGGTTTAAACGTAGTCTACGTTTAATTTTGTATAGTAAATTATGTTAAATTTTAAGTGATAGGTAAGTAGTGAAATTTTCTAAGTTTTCACGATTCATATTTTTTGAATAACAAAAAAAAAAAAAAACCTAAATGTCTTTTAAGGAGAAATTACTATTTACTTGGGACTAGGTATTCAATGTCAATATAATTTGAACTTCAATCTCTCATAAATAATGACTATGTTTTTTCACATTTTAATTAATTGTTTACAAAAATATTAATATGATGAATCTAGAAAATATTTTCAAGCTTCAAGTTTAAGATTAAAATTTTTTTTTTTTGGCTTGCAGGTCATGAAGGACTTATGCCACTTTTACCACGTTCCCCCACAGTTCCCGATCATCTGCATCCTCAATTTTTGTCGTTCCTAAGCTTTCCAGATCTTTGTTTACTCTATCGAAGTAGTTGATACTAGAACTATAAAATCTAAAACAAAATATAAAATGATAATTATTTTTTAAAGACATTTAAAATTCAATTTTGAATATAATTACTTATTTAAATGAAAATAACGATGTAAATTATTTTGTTATAATTTAAAAATATTATTATTATAAACAAACAAATAAAATAATTTTGTCAAAAACTGGTTTTGCGTGAATATTCCCATTAATTTCTAATTTTAGGTTTTCCTGATTAGTTTGAAAAATCAAACTGAAAAGTGTTTAGTTCTTTAGTTTTCATTTCTCAGAAGTACAAATAAGATTAAAATTTTTATTAGAAAGATAGAAGCTATTCAAAGTTAAATAACGAAGAATTTTTTTCAAGTATTTATTGAGTAATTGCTTAGACAAAAAGTATACAATAGCAAAATTAATACATTTATTGCTTTATTCAGCATTAAGTATTAACTCAAATTTGAAAATACATTGATCGTTATTCGTTAGTATACCTATATCAATAACGTACTCAAGAGGGTAGGGGGTTTCCAGGTCTGAGCCTATTGACTGACAGAAATTAAAATTCTAAAGTATTACATTCTTACACATTGTTTAATTTTAATCGTACTAATACTTAATTGTACTGAATTGAAATGAACAATTTTTTTCTTACGTATTTTTGCATATTTTAATTAAAATGCATGTAATTGCATAATTAGTTTTTAAGAATTTATTTAAAAAATGAACTTAAAGATGAAGACCATTTTCATGTACATTGTAAATCTAATATTGATCGGTAATTGATTTATATACGCCGTAAGTAAATTATCTTTGGCTATATCATTGATTTTATAATTTGCTCTAACCTAACCCGGATCAACAACTGTTGCCTACACCCTCCGCACCAAACAAATACTATCGCGAGTTGTTGTCATCAGTGCAAACCGGCTTTCTGGACGCCGCGACGTCACTTTTCTAAGTATCAACGTGTAAACGTGCTGTGCTTTTTGCTTCAAACTTTTGTTGCCAAATTTTCGAGAAAATTTCACCCGTCGTCATTATCTAGTCCAGAATGCATTTAAATTATATAGTTAAAAAAAGCTTATTATTTATTTAAGTCAGCTGAAACAACATTTTAATTGCATTTTTATTTTCTTAAATAATAGCTAATAACTAATTAGTTAACTTTCTTAGATTGCTAATACATATGTTGCCTAATATCTAAGCTTTTTTAAAGGTTATTAATCCTCGAAATAATAGTGTTGGGTGTTGTTTGTAAATGTTAATGGTAATTTGACTCATGAACAAAAGCATCTAGTAAGTTATAACTGTTATAAAAGTTATTATAATATTCTTTAATAGATTCTTGTATAACCATGGATTTCTCCTACTACATAATGCATATCTATTATTAAATAAAAATAAAAAAGGAAACTAAAGTTTTAACATCAATGGTTAACGGTTTAGTAGTTATAACTGGTTGGTTTTCAAAATATGTCAATTGGAAATATTACAGAAATTTAATGAACATGTAAGATTTGACTACCATAAACTTTTAGTTAAAAAGCAGAAGGGTTTTTGAATATTTATTCAAACAAAACATCATCAATAATAGGTAATTACTTTAGATAATGAAAGATTAGATAGTTGGAATAATTTAATTATAATTTTGTTTAAAAGTATTATACGTAAAGACCGGATTTATATTTATTTTAAATATATGCATGCATCATTAGGTAATACATTGGAAAAAATATTTTATTAAAATTAAATAATAGATACATTGGTCATATAAATAGGAAAATACTAATGTAATTAATTGATTAATTGATAAATTCCTATCTATGAAACTAGACCCTCTCCATAGAAAATTCCTAGCAAAGGCCCTATTATAAAATTAATGATTATACTGAGTAAAAGATTTTATACCTAGGCTTGTTGTGAATTGTGGTTGTTTATGTAAGTTCATTTAATAGTCGTTAGTACCTACGAGTGTACGATGTTTGTTTATCGTGTGGATACAAAAATTAATATTTTTACGTGACATTCAGAGTAACATTCACATAATAAAGACAAAATTTAAACAATTCGTTTAACAATTTTCAAGTGATAAATTATTAAATGATATTAATAGTATAAAATACTTAAATTTATTAATTTTGATATATCTTTAAAAAAAAATTTTTAATGTTTGATTGAACTTAAAAAATATTTTTTTAATTTATTTGTTACATATATAAATACATAATTCTTAGCCCCAATAATTATGTTATTTTTAATCAATATTTTTTTTATGTAACTATTCTATAAAAGCTGTTCATAATAAAAACACGTTTTGAAATGTTCATTGGTATTTGTAGATAGGTAGGTATAGACTATAAAGATAATTTATATCTCATAAAAATGCATAGATAATAGGTAGTATAACGTCGTATTATATACCTATTTCTCAAAAAGTATTATTATGAAAGCCTAGTCATTTAATTATCATTTACATTAGTTATATTCAATAGATTAGATATAACTATAATAGTTATGTTGTGTTGTTTTTTTTAAATGTACTTAATTCGTGTATCGTCATAAATGTATATTCCTATTATAATTTAAACCTATTTAATAATTAGAGAACAAATAATAAAAGTGAATAATGATTAATTCCATAACTTCATACCTACTAATCTGAAAGATTCGCAATCAATAGCAAAAACAGGGAACATCCAACAACTAGCAAAATTGTAATTTGTAAATAATTTATCCATATTATATTTTTTCATCAACGATCACACTAGAAATTTTCTTTTTGGTATAGGAACTGCGTTTATTGTTGCAGATCTAAAATAGGTAGTTATTTAATGGTAAATCGGTGTGTAAATAATATAATATCTATTAATAATTTTGATGATATAACTAGTTACATAAAAATTGATTAATTTAAGAGGTCGTCTAGTAAAAAACGTATTTATGAAACAATTATAAACCACATGTTAGTCTTAAGGAACTGGGATCGTTAATTTCTATTACAAATTGATTCATTAAATGTTTGCTGATCACTGATTGTTTATGCAATAAGTTAATAACGTATTAACGTCTGACGTAGTGACCTTTATTTATTGTAGAAAAGTTAATACTAAACTTTGACCTTGATTGTTTACCGTGGAACACATGTACGTTTTATGTAGATTGCTAAACACAATAATATGTATTTGATCTAAGCTCATAGCTAACACATGTTCGTTATCAGTCACGATAACGGTGACGTTTGTCGTTATCAGACTTTACTCTTTAAACAACAGAAAAAAAAAACAATATCGAGCGAAACGATATTATTACATTCAATTCGATTTCGTAATACTACTTCAATAGTCTAGTATACACTGTCTCAAATGTCTCAATTACTTCATAGTTTGTGTTAATGACTACAGCGTTCTGAAAAAAAATTTACACATCACGAACATTTCCTGATGTAATTTCTATGTCAAGGACATTGGTGGTTGTTCACAGCTGCCAAATTTATTGTCAACCGACTTCAATGTTCATTGCATGAATGATGGAATACGATAAATACCTCCGACCACTTCGGCGTGCATGATGGCACACGATATACAGGTAAACAACTTAGCAATTTTTTTTATAATTGTAGTTTGGTTATAATAATTGTTTGCTTTAGAAACATGATTCCAACTCTGTAAACGTACTGCACAGTTTGGCAGCTGGCGCCATTGCTGGTGCTTTAGCCAAGAGTACAATTGCTCCATTAGATAGAACTAAAATCAATTTTCAAGTGAGTATTGTAATTATAATGCTTATGATTTTACATTATTTATTTTCCAGTCAGAAATAAAAAAACTAGTCTATAACTATTGATCAATTTTAATGTTTAGATATCTCAAGAACCATATTCAGGTAGAGCTGCATTTAAATTTTTGTCTGATACTTATGCAAAAGATGGTTTTATATGGCTATGGCGAGGCAATACAGCCACCATGACCAGAATCATCCCATATGCTGCTATTCAATTTACAGCATTTGAACAATGGCGGAAATTGCTGAAGGTTGATTCTCTAAACACAAAGTAATATTACTATTTAGGCATGATTTTTTGTTCTAATTACATACTAATTAGACAAATGAACATTTTTAAATAAATAAATAGTTCTATGTTAATAATTATTTTATTTGTTAACTCTAAAATAAGAACACATAATTCATTATGTTAATTTAAATTTAAGTTTAAAACCAGCAACCTTAATATTTATAAAAATTAAACTCTATTGCTATAAAATCGTATCATTTATTTTTATTTTTTTTATATTACTTTTACATTAAGTCCTCCACCCTGATAAATATTTGAGTTACAGTATAATTCAACAATAATTAATGTAATTAATTTTGATATTGATGTTTTAGCTTATAGCTTGCCTATAGTGTTATGTACAGAATTATTTTTGACTCTTCAATTGTAAAATAGGTATTAAAACTAAATATAATTTTAAAATTATATTATACACCATAGAAACTCAATTTTAGTTTGATTTATCCTAGTCAAAGTTCAGTTATATAGTTTATTTTATAGAATTGTAATGAAATACTTTTTAAATATTATAAATATTAGTAAATAGTACATAAATACTCATTAATGCTAAGTCTTTCACATTAAGAATTTCACTGATGTTACTTTACTTGTATTATTTGGTATTAACTATTATGTTTTCAATTAACATTAATTTATTAAAAATAAAATAATATATAGTTTATAATTACATTGAATATTTAGTATTATTAGCTTAAATATCAGTAAAAACAAAATATAAGTAAATATAATGATTACTTTTATTGTTAATAGTAAATAGTAATAAAAGCAGTACTAAATTTAATTTGAACATTTAATGGACTTTGAACACATAATATTAATTTTGATAACTAAAATAATACAAAAATATTGGTTTTAAATTTAGATTAAAATGTAATAAATTGATTTTTCCCTGCACATTTACAATTTTTTTTTATTTATGTTTTAACAAACATGTGGTTTAATTTTTTATTTTTATCAACCCTGTTTTATAATTTGATCGTTTATTTTATTATATTATATATTTTTTTAGAAATAATGGAGGTCTTAAGTTTCTTTCTGGATCTTTAGCTGGAGTAACATCACAAACACTAACTTATCCTTTAGACTTGGCAAGAGCAAGAATGGCAGTTTCTACCAAAGATGATTATAGATCGTTGGGAGATGTAAAGTATTTAATTTTAAATGGATTTATTGATGTAGTTATATTAATTATTTAGTTCGAAATATCTTTGAGTATAACTAACATAATTAAATTAATATAACTTTTATTAATTATATTTATTAGTTAACTATTTAAATAATTGATGTTATTTACCATGTTACTTATTTAGGTGTTCAAAAAGACTTTTAAAGTTGAAGGGATAAAAGGCTTTTATCGAGGCTATGTGCCAACAATACTAGGCATTATACCTTATGCAGGTACAAGTTTTTTCACATATGGGTCGTTAAAGTCACTTATTAAAGGTAAGTATTTATAAAATGTATACTTGATAAAATCATCTTCAATACCTATGCTTAATATTTAATACAGAAAAGCATGGATATGAAAATACGGTTGTGAATTTAGCATGTGGTGCAGTAGCAGGTATGGCTGGTCAATCATCTTCATATCCCTTAGATATTATTAGACGGAAGATGCAAACATCAGTAATTACTGGAATAAATTACACAAACCTTAGAACTACATTTATAATGATTTATAAGTAAAGTATTTTTATTTTATAAAAATACGATTGAGCACAGTTCTTTATTATAGTAATATTTTTAATACGATTGAGCACATCTTTTTTTCTCCAACATTGCTAAATTAAATCTTATTTATCATAAAGTATTTATGATATTGATATATAAGTTACTTTCTGTGTGTAAGTATATATTTATCCATACCAAAATATAAATACAAATGCCAACATGATTAATTAATATTTTATTTATGTAATATACACTCTAACAGTAACTATACACATTAATATATAAGGTAATCATTAGTATTATTATATTTTGTGTCCAATAATTTAATAAATTTCATATTAATACTCTAAAATTTTAGTTATAACTTACGTATTATATTTTTTCATTAACCCTACATAAAACAAAATATTTAGTAATATATATAATATATATACATTTATTTACTTTCTTGAAAAATTAAGTGACTTGTAACTTTAAATGTAACTAAAGTTTATGATGGTTTTAACTGCAACTTGTAACTAGATACAACTAATCAAGTAACTTGATTTCTGATAGTATATCAGAAATCAAGTAACTTGATTTCTGATAGTATATCAGAAATATAAGTAAAACAATTTTTCTTAAATTGATGAAGCTTGGACTTGTGACAATATATAAACCAAAAAGTAATTTTCCTTACTTAATAATAATATGGCAATGTTGCATGAAATTTTGTGCTCAGTTGTTTTAGTTTTTTTGGTTGATAGTGATTTATTTGTAAAATATGCTAAAGTATTACATTAAAAAGTTAAATTGTCTAAAAAGATACAATGTGCTTAATCGTTTGAGAGCTTGTTTATAAATAAATAACTACGGTTATAAATATTTTATGTTTAATCTAGAACTGAAGGTATTAGACAAGGTTTTTTCAAGGGCCTAAGTATGAATTGGATTAAAGGTCCGATTGCTACTGGAATTAGTTTTGCTACATACGATTTTGTAAGGAAAACTTTAAAAAATATTTGAAGTTTTCAATATTATTTTTCACCATTAATGTGCCTAATTTAATTATGTTGTTACCATTAGATTATATTGATTCTATTTGTTCGAAACCATTAATTGTGTATGAACTGTAATATCTAGTCAAATAATTTTAATTTTGATGAGCAAGTTTGGACATAATTTTATAACACCTCTATACTTATTATAAAATATACTATACATTTAAAAAATACGTAGAAATATCAATATCAGCGATATTTCAGTTGATATTTTAATGTTTGTTATTGTTTTAAAAACATGTTATTAATTGATTTTTATGTTAGTTTTGAGTAATAATTTCAAAAAAATTATTGTTTAGGTTGAATGTACTGTTTAAAACTTCAAAGTGTATTATTTGTTATTTTCATAGTTATTTATATTAATGATTTGAAGGAATAATTCAAAAAATTAGCTACATAAATAAATTGATACATATTATATATAAATATTTAAATCATTAGTATTTATTGATGAAAAATTCATTTGTATATGTAGCATTACTTTTTTGAAATAATTAATTGAATTATTTCTATAAATATTGTAATTTTTACTTAAACTTAGAAGTTGTTACACTAGAAAATTTTAAATTTTATTTAATTAATTGAAATCAAATAAGTAAATTTGACCATATTAAAGTGTTGTGATAGTTTTAAAAATTAGTAATTGATTAAATGTACAACATTCTTCCTAAATAACTAAATTGAAGATGAGGTAGTTGGAAGAATGAATTATTAAAATAATTTTTTCTCAATCTTTTAAAAATTAACCATAATTCAAAATATTTAGATGCTTAATCTTGATGTATAATTTATAAATAATTAATTTTCAATACAATTACTACTTTTCGAATACCTCTCACAACACTAATTTTGCTTAAAGATTATTAAAAAATGAAAGTTAGTTTTTTTTTAATGATCAAATTTTTTGTTGTAATTGTTTTTCTTTTTTAATACTTAACCTTATTTGTTGTTTGAATCTGAAATCATTATTTCATAAATAATTTTTAATACAATCCCATAAAAAAAAGTTAATGTTCTATGATTGTAAATAATATTGTATACATTTATTAAAATGTTATTGTATTTTTTAAATATTGACAATAATATGTTGTAACTTGTACTAATGGTTACTAATTAGTTATACATACTAGATAAATTAATTGAAAATATTTATTCTTTACATTCTTGAGCTAATGTATTCATTTGATTGCTAACATCACTGAGCTCTGAAAATAATAACAAATAATTAATATTGTAACGGACAATAATTTAATGTGTATAAATGTAGTTTTGAAGACTGACTGAAATTGTATAATTTTGCAATTATAAATTACCTTAACATTTTTTTTAAATAAATTTAAAATGGATAATTTAAGTAAAATTATATTTTACATTATAAGTTTATATTGCTTATTACATATTGGGCTAATGTTGTGCACAACATTTTTTCCAGATAATGCTAGATAAGTATATTAAGTAGCATGTACATATTTTGATCAAATTATATATTAAATGATTTAGGCACTGAATGAATATTTAAATATTAATATTCATAAAATAAGGTATAACGATATGTTTAAGCTATCATAAGAACCAATAAACTTGTTTACATTATTATACAGTATATTTGTATTGAATTATACAAGTTAATAGTAGTTATATGATATAATATTATAATAAAAAATAATATAATAGATATCTAAAGTAATTTCATTATCAATTTATTTAAATTCAACCTACTGCATTCTAATAAATATACATATTATTAAACATTAAGAAATAAATAGTGATTCTGTCTAGAATTAGTTTTTAGTAAATATAAAATGATTTATCATAGAATTCAAATTTAACACATACATTGTAGTGACTTATTCAAGGACATGGTACTTTTAAAATCTATTAGGTATGCAATCGAGCAAGTACAAAAGTTTCTTTTTTAATTGATATTATAAGATTGTATTTGCTGAAACAATGGAATTTCCTTAATGTCACATGAGTTAATTATCCTATGGCTATACTTGTATTAAAATTTTGTTTTGTTACATAAACTGAATGGACGATTTGGTTATACAAAAATAAAAATAAATTAATAAATTACAGATTAGGTAGTAGACAGCAGTGTAGTTATAACAACAAAGTTATATTTGATTTAATTTCCTTTATTGTGAGGTTGGGAAAGTATCCAAGATTAGGTACTTACATAAAAAAATATATTTGCAAAACCACAATTCACAAAATATATACCTATTTGAATCTCTATGTAGATATTTACATTTTTTAGCTTCTACATTTTGGAATTCGAAGCATTGACATTCCACCACTCTAAGTTCACTATTTTTTTATATTGTGGTTTGTGGAAAATGTCATCATAATTTGTTGTATAAATTATCGATAGTCGAGGATAATATCTGAACTACACATCTATGACATTCTATAATGTTTTGAAATGCGATTAACGCTGTGCTATTGGACCACGGTTTTAGAAAATATAAGACTGATTTGGGCTGTGTAGTAATGGACTATCCGCAATGAAACAAAACTTGTAAACGGTTTTGTCATTGTCACAAGGGTTTTTGATTATTTGTGTAGTAATATAGGCGAAGCTCTGAGAAAGTATGATCCGTTAATAAATAATAATTTAAAAAAAAGGGTACATTATGAGATTATAATAGTATTGAAAATCCAGAGCTTGCTTAGAAAGCTTTTTTTTTTTTGGATACTTAGATATAGTTTAATTTATAATAAAAAATACCTAATAAATAATGGTGGGATCTTCAACTAAAATAAAAGTATTGTGTTACATACTTACTAACTAATTGTGATATATATATTTAATAGAAAATCGTTATTAAACTCCATTTAAAATATATAAGTAATTAATTTAAATAAAAACTCATATAGGCTAATTAAAATGTGGTTAGCGATTTCATTTAAAAATATGTAGGTATAGATGTAGTGGCGTATTTACAAACTTATTTTTTAAATTATACAATCAGAAAACATTTTAAATATATTTTTCAAAATTTTAAAATAATAAAATAAATTTAAATGTTGATAAACGAGTGTCTTATATAAAATAAATTAAAAGTAAATAATTAAAACAGTAGTAAAAATAAAAATTTCAAATATTCATGTTGAATAAATACAAATTTTTAAGTTTACATTTTGCTTACTATTTTTCCTAGACATTTTATCTATTATGTCGTCAAAGCATTTCTAGATTTAATTTAACATCAAATAAAAAACAGTCAAATATTATTGGGTTGTAAATTGTTTTTTCCAAAATTACTAAGTAATATAGCACCTTTTAATTTAAAATGAATACTATATTTTATTTTATTTTTTTGGTATTTCATATTTTAGTGTCAATTTAAAATTTTTGGAGTCATTTTACTTTATTTTATGTTCTGTAATATTTTTGTAACTAGTTGATGACGTAAGATCTGAAAACAATTCGTGTTTAGTTTTATCTGTCTAAAAACAAGTGGAAAAACATTTAAATTAAATAGGTACTTAACATTAACTTGGTTTCTAAAATAATTAGTATGACATCAAAATATAATATATTTAACTTAAAATCTTTTTTTTAAAGTAATGATAAGAGTTCCATAACCATAATATTATTAAATATTTTTAATGTTATTTATTTTTCATGGTTACAATTCATAGATACAATAAATTTGTTATAGGCACAAAAATATGTCAATTTTTTGTTGTAAGCCAATTTGCCCATCAATGGTAGAAAATACATTTTTTTTTAGATTTTCTTTCTTTATTAAAACATAAATTATTTTTACAGCGATCAAATCGTTGAAATGAACGCAGTTTTTCAAACAATTGTTGACACTGTTGTGTCTTCTATATCAAGTAATATCTCCAATCAATTGTTAAGTTTGATACACGAATTGGAGAGTCAACAAATAAATTATATTTGTATAGATCTTTTTAGTGGGTCAGTTACCAATCATTTCTAATACAAATTTAGTAGTTTTATTAATTGTGTAGGATACAATTTAATGATAGTTTTTCTGCCGCAGAAACAGCCAAAACAGAATAGATTTTCGTAATAACTGCAAGTCTATAGAACGCATACAATTTTTATCATTTATAAAATGAAAATGATATATTTATAATGAGAAATTTATTACATTTTATTATGAGTCATGACCTAGCGTGTACGAATAAATGTTTATTATTGAAGCTAAGACAATTTATTAGTAACGCTATTTTACATATAGGTTCTCTTTAATTTAATATTCTCAAATCCTAGATGTTTTCAAAAAAAAAAAATAATAATAATAAGAATTAAACTTAGGTTCACTTTGGATAACCTTTATTATAATTTTCAACAAAACTATTACTTATAATTGGCATAGTATTATTATTAAATAATAAAATACTCAATATTTTAGATTATTACTTTCAATTTTACTGTTTAATGTGAGTTTTTCATCATAATCAATTATTCCAACTATAATATTAGACCAGCAAGGAAAAAGTATCATAGATAGTTCAACACTTAGGAACTATTTCAGGAATATATTGCGTATTATCAAATTCTCCTTCGATACCAACAATTTGAGTCTCGCATTTGGTCAAAATAAACTTTGTCCAGTATTTAGATAGACTCGATAAATTAAAATTATTTACCATATCAATAATTTCTAATAAATTTTCTTCAAAATTATTATTATTTAATTAGTTGCTAACAGTGATGGCACGAGATATTGAACTACATGAATCCCAGAAGGATTCTGTCCACCCACCCAGCAAATTAAAGGGTATCTTGTAAAAACAAGTCTATTTTTTTCAAATTTACATTTATGAATATCTAAATTGTTTATTACCCCTATCAGCCTTTACTACTATAACTACTCCAGTACTCCATACTACTAAAGTATTAAACACCCATCTATCTGACTTGAATTACGGTGCTTAAAAAACTGTTTTAGCGCTTTCATTAATTACTAAATACATATGAGGTGGTGACATTATTACTGATTAAACACTGATGAATTAAAAAATAAATATATTTTAAACAAAAAAAGGTGATAATATACATTTATTATATAACTAAATAAGTATAAGAGTATGATAGGTTGATCATCTACGTAACATCTTAAGGTAGAATTGGAAGGTGTTTTATTAAACGAATGCTTTTAAAACATTTATAATAGTGACCTAATTAATGACGACATACATTTGAAACCTATAACACTCTACAATAACTTATTCCCGTAAAGCAATTTCTCTAGTTTTTTTTTTATCTTTGTATTTTTGTATTTTCTTATTTTATAAATTCACTATAATAAAAAAAAAAATGAGTACTTACCATACACACAGCATATAATTTAAGTTAAATATTATTAATGAAATGAGCATGAAAAATACTGTTTTAAGAAAATAGGTAACTTTGTTAATTTAACTCAGAATAACATAATGTTCACAATTCACGATGATGAAATCATGAAAAAAAAAGAATCAACATGTATCGTTATAATATGTTTATAGATAAATAAAAAAAACAATGATACGATAATAATTTCAAAGTAGTTTAAAAATAGAAGTTTTGTTCCACTTATAAACTTATTAATATTATAATATTAAATAAATACTAAATAAGTATAAATCTTATAATAATTTAAACAAAAATTATTTATAATAGTTTGTTAATACTAAATATAATTAATTTAATATAGCCGGTTTTATAGGTATATATTTTGTGGATGGTAATGGGAGGGGTTCTTATGAGCTTATAGTTGGAGAAAACTAGTAAAAATACTAATATAAATATAAATTAAATAATAATAATAATAATAATAAATTATTTAATATCAATAATTAAAAATTGATTACTAATTTTTCAAAAAAAAAAAATTTCCAAAATTTCACTTTTAGGATGCCAGACTGAGGTTCTTAATTGAATTAATCATTTTCTAATGAAAAATGCAGTTTCTTCACTACGAATCGTATTCAAATTTAAAAATAAATAATATAATTATTTTATTAAAATGTATGTGTAACACGACTGCAACCAATTTATGCCTTATAGTACTAAATATTAAATAATAAAAAAAATAAAAGGTTTAGAAAACAGTTATTTATATTAATTAGGATTAAAGCTATTATATTCTATAAAGAACTAATCAAATTATTAATCAAAAATGATAATTATAGTTTCATTTGCACTGATTACGCATAAAATTGTAGACATAACAGAAATGTAATTATTTATTAAATAGGTACCAACCTACGTAAAACAATAAGAATAATTAAACGCTGAATTTAATATTTAAATTTTAATAAATAAATAGGTAAATTAATAACATCAATGTAATAACTAGTAAGTAACAAGATATACTTAAGTCAAACATTTCAAACAATCGAATCGTATACGTATAGGTGCTCTTAACTTCCACTATGCATAGTAAGTACCAACATATACAAATTTTTCAACATACTTTTTATATTATTTTTTCATCTTTTTGTAATTTAATACTCTTGATATTGAGTATTTGATTAAATCTCAATTTCCATATTATAGGTGCACATTTTTACTTAAATTATTATTTGTTTCTATAGTGATGTTCTGTATTTATTTTATTTATTAGGTAGATAAAATATTTAAAAGAGTTAAATAACTAATAAACATATAAAAGCATCTATTGAAATTGAGTCAATTATTAAATAAAACGCAATAATTTTTGTTGAAAAAGTAAACGAGGTTATAAAATATAAAAATAAAAAACTGAATTCGAAATTATTTGTTTAGAAAATTGCAGTTTATTTAGACTAAAATATTTTTAAGAACTATTTAAGTCGGAGATAATGATCAATTTAGATTTTTACAAGTAAAATAAAATAAAATCTATATAGTATTATTGTAATATTTATACTAATTTATATGAACCGTTTATTGATAACCGATAAGTTATTAAATGTATGCATTTTATACTTTTATAAATTAAATTAAATGTTATTGTCTTTATTCGCAAAAAGATTACTTTTTTTATTCAAAATACAGAGTTCAATATTGAATTCATTTAAGACTATTATAACATATATTTATAGAAAGACATTTTTTTTCTTAAGTACAAACTATGTATTTGATAACAATTATTTTTTCAAATATTTGTGTTTTGAATTTTTTAAAAGAATAAACATTGTAATAAAATCGGCACAAGTGGTTTATAACTATTTTAAAAAGTTTTCGAAGCTGAATTACATTTGTGTGAATACACTATATGTAGTAGTTATAAGAATTTTAATTTAAACTATTATTTTAATCGATTTTCGGATGATATTAAAAAAAGTTACACAACAATAAAAAATCAACGTCCCAGCACAAATCAAAATGGGTGTACTTAATGATGTTGAATAACGGGGTTTCTAGTAATTATTAAAGTTGTACAATTATGTAAATTTAATAATGTCGTATCTAAAATCAAATATACTTATTACACACAAATGTCATTTAACAATTTTAAACTAAACCGTTATTTGCTATACTCCGGGATTTATTTAATTGCATTTAATTGTGTAATTTATGTATGTATGTAAGTTTTGTATAATTTTTTTTTTATTATATAAGATTTATATAGAAAATATAGTTAAGGAATGTGAGTTACTGGCTATTTCTTAAAAACTATCATTTCTTTTTCATACGACGAATCTAACTTTGAAATTATTTTTTTTATGTATAATTATTGATTATAATTTATAATCAATGATGGTATAATATAATAAATATATTATTAATCTGACATTGCAGAGGACATTGGCGACGAATTTAACAGGGTCTAGAGGGAATATATTATGACAAAAGGATAATATTTTGTGGAAGAAAGATTTTTATACTGTTACGTAAGAATAGTACAAAATATTTTTTGTCACGGTTTTAATGCACTGGGGATGTTTGGGACACATATTTTACATACCTAGGTAGGTACATGTATACATACATATATAGTACCTAATATAATATGACATATTATTTTAATAACTACATTTATGTGTAATTAGATATAGTTATTATGAATTAATTAAATTACTGCATTTTTAAAATATATATAGATTGTTATTTAGAGTATATTCTAAATAAAGTTTAAAAATGAATGGTATTACTTAGACGCTTAGACAGAACTACAGCTGTGAGTGCTGCAGATACAGCGATCTCACGAGCAACATCAGATAAAATTAAATCTATTTACTGCATATACATATTCTAATCATGGAGAATATCTTCCATAATTCAACGTAAAACACAAAAAAATAAAAATAGCAGGAGATACCAAATAATAAAATATAGCAATTTAGTATTATTTAGTTTGAAATTTAAATGTGGTAATACTATAATAGTACAATTTATTATCTATGCAGCATGTACTATGAGTTGATGTTAATGATCTAAGTTAAAGAAGTTAAATTCTCGATTTTTCCTGTAATTCTGTATAAATATTAATCTTGTAATTGAAATTGGATGAGTGACTATTAGTTCTTTATTTCTACGTGTCTTATTTGCAACCATGTAATAGCACAAACTTAGCTATTTTTTCGATTTTATACTATTTTTCAAATTTCAATATCATGTATTATAATTTAATATATCTATTTTTTTTTTCTAGAAGACACTTCTCGTTTTTTACATAAGTGACAGAGTTCTAACAATATAACTTACCTACTCTAACAAAAACATATTTATTAGGGGGTGAGAGTAGATATCCTTTTTTTATAATCATTAAATAATAGTGACTAATTACCAATTACTTAGACTCTAAATCTTAGAATAACATAATATAATACATTATTTTATTAATTTGTCAGGTAAGTTAATTGTACATAATTAATATTAAATGGAATTATGACAGTGTTATCAAGCTACATATAAGAATAAATAAGTACAGATAAGTTTGTTGAAGAATTTCGTTTCAAAAGGGAAAATTATATTTTATATTTATGATTAAAAAAATATGCAATTTTACAATAATTTATTACATTTATTATTGCTATTATTTAGTAAATTGGGCTACTAAAAATTTGATTTGGCATATCTACTCTCTCACGAAAATATTTGATATTTTCTTGTATTTACTCTTAGTTGAGTAAATTGTTTAAATTGTGTACACTAGAAAGAATAGAATTTATATACCTGCAATTAAAAGTTGAATTTGTTCCTTCGTTAACGTGAATTTATTTTCTTCTGAAATTTTAGATTGATTATCATAATTTAATTTCATTACATATTCGCCATCATTTCTTTTGGATATATCGACATCATTTAAACGACCAATTCGTAAAGATTCGTTCTTCAACACCTTAGTAATTTTTGATAAGTTGTCTAAATATACTCTACATAGCGCTGAAGCATGTTCACGAGGTAAACCAATCTATAAATAAGAAGTATAATATTAGTTATCAGTTTTTTATATACTTATAAAAAATATTGTTTATGTACCTAACATACAAATGATTCAAAGGTTTAGAAAATAAAAAAAATTAACAATTTGTATGATTCTATTGTTTTTATAAAGTTATACATGACAACTATTAATATTTAACTAGTTTTACTCGAGATTAAAAATAATATCATTAAAACATTACTGTTTTAGTGAAATTTGAAATTTGACGACCTTATACTCGTATAGACATAAAGCCTCCCCTCAACACTCTCCAAAATTCCGGAAAAATTATTTTAAAAAGAATTTATTCGATACTAATAGAAAAAAAATCATCCAAAACGCAAGATTCGGCTTTAGAAATGAGTATTTTTTCTTATATCAACTACACAGGATAGTCGATAACATTGTCTCATCCCTAAAACAAAAACAATTTTGCTCTGGTGCTTTTCTTGATATTGCCTAGGCATTTGACCGGGTTTGGCATGAAGGATTAATGTTCAGGCTTCTATTCTTACTTACCCCGTTATACCTCACCTTAAAATCTAAACCAAACCTTCGCAGTAAGATGTGAAGATGAAATCTTCATCTCTCATCCTATAAAAACAGGCGTTTCCCAAGGCAGTATCCTCTCCCCGACTCTTATTATAACATAATATTATATATTTAGTCCAACATCACCCTAGCTACTTTCGCCGACGATACAGCCATAACATCATCTAACTCTGATATAAACGCTGCCACAAACAACTTTAAAACCACCTTAATCAACAACAAGATTGGTTCAACTTATGGAAAATTAAAATAAATGAATCTAAATCTACCTACATCACATTTACTTTCAGCCCTGAAAATATTCCTTCTGTTTACCTTAATAACCAGCAAATCTCTATGCACGACTCTGTTAAATACCTAGGCCTTCTCTTTGACAAAAAACAAACCCGGCAAACCATATTAAGGAAAAAAGAACTTCACTTAACTTCAAACTTTACAAACTAAAAACTCTACTCCGATCCAAAATCTTTTTAGACAACAAATTGTTAATATACAAACAAATGATTCGCCCAGCAATGACATATGGCATTCAACTTTGGGGAGCCTCTAAAAATTCAAATCTAAACAAATTTCAAGCATTCAAATCAATAACCTTTTGTGTCCTTTTTAATATTCCCTGGTATGTAAATAATCGCACTTTACATCACGACTTCAACTGGTAAGTTGAGAAATAACAACAATTGCTTCTTATCACTATAATAAATTTCATAAAAACTACTTCAACCACACTAACCCCTTCATATCTTAGCTGTCCTCTCGCACATTACTAGATAACTCACTCCGTCGTCTCAAACGTAAATGACCTCGTGATCTATTAACCAATATCTAAATCAAAAATACACAAGCAATCCTCTCTAGGTTCAAATTGAAAGTAGTGTTAATAGACGCCCCTTTATCTCAAATCGCTATGTCAAAAATATTTTAATCCATTTACTTATTGTGTAACTATGCATACAGATTGTAAATATCTTTTATAAAAAAAAAAGTGTGTACTTACTATTTATGTGTAATTAAATAAGAAATAACTAAACGTATCAATTTCCAGTGATCTTAAAATTTTAATAAAGTTTCTTAATATTGTTTAAAAAAATTATAACTAATAATAAATGTATATAACATTTTAATAACATACTTGTTGTAATTCATTAGAAAGATAATTTTGAGAAACGGCATGACAAGCAGCATTTTTTAGAATATATGTGATTGCGGCTACACAGGCTTTACAGTTTTCAATATCTAAATAACAAAAATTAAATTTACTATCTAAAATTTAAGATTTCTTAGATTATAATATTCTAGAGGGATGTGTCGAATATCATAATTTATTCTAATATAACACATTAAAATATAAATACTTATAATTATTAATTATAATATATTTTATGTCATATGAATATATTAAAAATAATTTATAATATTTTATTATAAATACTATTTAATCAAAATGCACACAACATACACCAAGAGCCAGCTGATCGAGTGATAAAATATTATTCTGATCAAGAAAATTATTTACTTCATTTAAAAAACTTTTTTGTTTCGTCTGATGAAATTTCTGTATAATAAATACTCTTAATACTAAAAATACTATAGTTGATAATATTAAGAAAATATAGACATTTAAATTTAAGTATGGGTTTTTACAAGTTTTTAATTACATCAATAATTTATTTATTTTATTTGTTATCAAATACATTTTGGAGTGTTTAAATTAAATTCATAAACAATTTTCTAAGTGTAATAATATCTTATATAATAAAAAATTAGGAAAACCTCGTGCACGTTAATTTATATTACGCATTTAAAACCACAAAAAATTATCTAAAATAATACAAATATAAAGTTTGTATCTCGTATGTAACACTTAAAGTATTGTAAACGAAGCAAATATTTATTATTTTAGTAATTACTTATTCCTTCGGCGTTATTGTATAGGAGAATATAAGGCACCGTGCTACCAAACTTTATACTATAAATAAATTAGAGCTCAACATTGTGTCCAGGTTCATAGGACATAAAATAACACGATATAAAATATAAAAATTGATTATGGTCTAGAAAAGAAAACACCTTAAAGAGATTCTATAGAGTACAATGAACATCAAAGAACTGTTAAGTAACGCCATAATAATAAAATCATGGTTATTGTGTATGAGTGCAAGACATCCACTCAACATTTTTAATAAGATAAATTCGGGAAAAAATAGATCATTGTGATTAGGATTAAAAGTTTCTTTGGATGACTGCGGAAGTGTAACCTTATTACTAACTTAAATACAAAAAAATTCGTTTCTACTCAATATCTTGACATAATATAAATGAACAGTCTTTAATGTTATGGCTGATAAATAAGCCCTTTCTTTAACATCCAGTCTATGATAGAAGCAAATGGAAAAATAAATAAATAACAAGATACCTACTAAAAAAAAAAATGTGATTAATTATACGAGTCATTTACTATCAAATTAGCAACTAATATTTTTAATTTGTATTATTGCATAAATGATAGAAATATAGAAATTAGTCAGAACAATTTGAGTAAATACGGGTATTAGTTTAAAATAAATGTTAACAATATTATTAAATTCGTTTCAAATAGATATAATTTAATTATTTTTATATTGTAAATGTATAATGTGGAGTATTACTAAATTAAATATACACTACTTACAGTACTTAAGTAGGTACATAACGACCATTCGTTATATATTATTCGATTGATTTGTGTACTTTCTATTAATGTATACTAATTATCTAAGGTTTTATAATATATCTATTGGATATTACATTATAATCTTAAACTCAAATATTCATAAACTGGTAAACCGTTTAGTAGGATTATATTTTAAGAAAAAACAATTTAACTTACCCAGTTTAGCATCAGCCATAAGCTCCTTAGCTTTTTCAAACTACAAAACAAAAGCTGTCATTAATTATTCGGCATTGTATCATCACTCACATAATAGGTTTTCTTAACGATGTATCAAATTCTGCGATCATATAAAAGTGGTGAAAAGTGTAATCTATTGCAATACGTATAAGTTGTTCAACATTAAGCTACTTAAGGAAACTCATTTTTTTATGACATCAAGTAAAAATGAAAAATTATAAATTCTATCATAAAAAATATAAGGTCTTTCTAACAGACATAGTCTTATATTCAATCAGTTAATGCTATTATTCCATTAAAAAATGTCTGTTAAAGATAATCAGATTTATTAAGGTCTTTATGAAACATTGGACAAAAATGTACGCACTTACATGGTCCATTACGTAAAAATAAATGATATTATCTGTAATGTTTAGCGGGTGTGTCTTAAAAAGGTGAAGAATAAAAGCTGCGAACAGAATTCTTTGTAACAATAAAAAAAAATAACTTTCTTTAAAAAAAATAGTAGATGTATAGGTACCTAATAATGAAGAAAAATAGCTTTTTTCAAATCCCAATAGATTATATTTTATGAAAAAATAACAAAAATAAAAAAGTTTGTTGGCAACCACCATAAATAAGACCAATCAAGATTAACGAGTTGCTTTGAATTAACTAATTGTATTTTTTTGTTTTTATGTGTTACATATTTTTTAAGTATAAAACAATGAGTTGCTAGAAAGAGATTTTGCACCGCTTTAATAATAATCATAAATAAAAAGACATAATAGCATAACTTTAATATAATAATATAAACTTACGTTGAATGGTTCTCCAAGCAATGAATTAACCGTGCACTGAGCTAACAGTTTCATTTTAATCGATGTCTGGGAAAATAAAAGAATTTTAATTCAAATTGAATTAATCAACACTAAAATTTTAAAACTATATTTCTACAAAATATTTAAAGCATAAATAAGTAATGAGTAAATTTAATTTGCATTTATAATACAAATCTTACGTATTTTTAAAACAAATTTAAACATTTCTTTTGTAAATGTATAGCGTACTTTTTAGATGGACAAATAATATATTAATAATAAAATCATCTTATTAGGGTTACTTAATAAATTTGGTAAATTTGGGATGAAGGTATACATTTTATGTAGAAATTTTATGTACAGTTGCATAAAAAAAAAAACAAACATAGGTATTCTTACCATTCTTGAAAGTGCATTGATCTGAACTAATAACCATTCTGGGCAGTCACCACCCCCGCAGAATTTGAATTTCTGTATCAAACATATCAAACAATACCTATTATAACATTACAATAACTATTTCAGACATTAAAATATCTTAAGTTACAATGTTGAGATGCGCTTAAGTATCTATATAATCTACAAGAAATGTGGCTGACAGCGATTAACAACAAGGTTAGATTAATTACAAGACAGTAAAAGTATTGTTTTACTCACCATTGTGACACGTTAATGATAAACGCCGCAGAAAAGGCTCCCTAAAGGACCTACAAAAGAAAAATAGGTTATTTCGAGAGAAAACAAATATAATACGTAATATGGTTTTTTTTTATTTTTTTTAAATTTTATTTGGACATATAATCAAATAACATATAGTTATATATGCCTTGTACAATCCTTGTCGACCCTATAATCGAAATTCATGAATGGTAGGGTTGACTGTAAGGATCGGGTAGTGTAATATAATAACCTAAGGGTGTGTATACAGCGCTATGAACAAGATTAAAATGGGAGTAGGTACCGATCCCAGAGTTAATCATTGCGATCACCTGGTGTGTCCAAACTAAGATACATGTAAACATAATAATGTAAAGGTTGTGAGGTCTATAAATACACGTAGTTCCTAAGGAAAGATGGACATTCGAATTGGACGTCATGGAGCTCATGGACGCAAGAACAAAGTTATACTTAATAAGTGTCGCCTATTTTGTACAGGTACATCGTTTGATATTAAATTTTTTTTTTATTATTTGTATAAACAGTGATTTTTGGTAGATAGTAAAACATATTTTTTTTGTGACAAATGAGTAAACCATAAAAAACTCAAATTAAAAAGAAACACGATTCAATTTAATACAATGATTTAAATACAAGACAAACCTATTATTTTTTTAATATAATATTAATTAGAATAAATTATATTTTTTTTAAATATAAGAAATAAGAATTTAAAAAAATTGGCAAGTGGGTATCGCTCTGATGTATAGTAGGTGTCGAATAGGTTTTTGTGATGAATGTTTTTAATTTAAATTCAATGGTACATAATTGTATACAAAAAAAATTCTGAGTGGAGACCGTCTTTTAGAGTATATTTAATATGTTTTATGATAATATAGCTATTAAGGTCATTCATTTTATTATTAGTATGTATTACCGAAGGTTGATTTAATTTTTACCGAAAGCATTGCATTTGTTTCAATATTAATATTTAATTATTAATAACTTTTGAGTTTTACTACTTTACCGAACAACAATGTAAATAGATTCGTAGTATAAATTGATAATACCTTATAAGTAATCATCTACGTATTATAAAAATTTCATCGAACATAGTCAAAATCATAATATACATAAAAGTTTTAAGTCTCCATAAATAATGCTTTTATATTATATATAAAAAAAAAAAAAACACAATTAATATCGTTATTAATCATAAAAATAGGCAATTTTGCTTGAATTAGACGATAAAAATAATTTTGATTATATTATATCTTTAGAACCTTAACTACAACAATTGAAAATTTTATATTTTTTTTAAAACAAAATACTTGTAATTATAGTAAATGTTTGTGATTTTGATGAATTTTGTAAACAATTAAGTTTCAAATGTAAATGAAAAAAAATTGAGCCTATGTATTTTTAATATTTTTATACAGATATAAAATTAACTTATATTTTGTATTACATTTTAAAGAATTTCGACTCAGTGAATAAATTTTTATCGTAATTAATAGGAAAATACAATTTTCAAATTTCAAATGACTATAAATAGGTCAAAAAAAGATTAAATATTTAGAAAGTTATATCATGTATAGGAAAAAACAAACATATAAGAATTTGATAAAAATTTCAAGTATCAACAGTTGTTATACAGATAGATGTATAATGTTGTAAAACGTTGAACTTCAAAGGATCCATAAAAAATGTAGTTATTTCTTGATTGATTTTTTTTTTGAATATTACTTGAAAAAAAAATAAAAAAATCTTGTATACAATTTTAAATTTTAGGTATAAACATTAAAATTGTTATGAAATTTTAACTAGAAAATAATTTGCTAATTTTTGTGATTTTGATGAAGTTTATAAAAATTTTAACTACGATTTATTTTTAAATTTTTTTGAGGTTTTAAGTTCCCTTTTTTTTTTTTATTTATAACTCATAAAAAAATTTTGAATTAAATTTTACAGGTTTTTGATTAAGTGAAAAATAGTTTATTGGCAATTAAAAAAATAAATATTTTAATTTTTAATGTATTTGCAACAATTTTCTAACTTATATACTAAATATTATGTAAGAATAAAATATCATAGTTTGTAATTTAATCAACTTCAATTGACGTGTTAATCAAATATTAAATGGATTTTTTTTCAATAATTTTTATCATGAAACTATAATTGTAGGAACACAAGTATTTATAAATATTTCTGGATTAGCGCATCTAAAACCTCATAAGTCATAATAATTATATTTTGATTATTTAACAATTTATGGTAGCCATTTTTATTAAAATTATAATAAATACATACATGTTATTTAAAAAAAAAAGTTTGATTTATGTGTATGGATTATGGAATGATAATTTATCTCTAAAAATTCGATAAAATAATTTTTAAAAAAATATTAAATTCTATATTTATTTTTATTTGATACTAAATTGTCATTAAATAAAAAATGGGTTATAGACTATAGTCATAGAAAATAATATTTTAAGAAATTTTAAATCTAATTTTAACGCTAATAGCTTTACATTTTCAAACACATATGAAAAATAGCAGTTAGTATTTTTTTTTTTTGAATAATTTAAATAATTTAAAAATATTATAAATGTAATACACGACTGAAATTCAAATAATAAAGTTTTGGAACCAGGCTTTAATAACATTACCTCGTATGTTTAATTTAATTTCATATTCGTAAAATACTGTTTCATTTTCTGACACTCCTAACACAAATTCCTGGAGTTAGATATACATACACATAGATACAAGTGAAAACCGACTCTTATGTATATAAAATATGATCTAAGACAAAACGTATTATTGAAGCTTTAAAACGTGACACCACTAAATGTCGCTGTAGTGAATACTTAAACTTTTGCTGAAAAATTTAAATTCGTAATTTTTACAGCTTATAAATGGCGATGCAAGAATTTCAAGAGCCGATATCAGTGCAGTTTTGGGTGAAAACGACGATCCTAATTTTTGGCCTTCAAGAGGTCGAAGAAATAGCCCGGAACCCAAATTCAAACAATACTTGGAAAGGAAATACAACATGAATACATTAAATGGTAATGTTATTAATGTATATGAATATGTATTTAAACATAAAGTTAGGTTTATCCTAATAACAAAATTATATTCATATTATACGAGTTACTTTTTTTTTTTATGAAATAAAATATTTTATTTTATAGTTTTAGTTTCAAATGTGATAACTTTGTACAATTATTGTTATTTAAACGATATTTATAGTTGTGAATTAAAAGTAGGTGACATATTTAATGTGAAAACAAATGATATCTATTAAAGTGGATACAATTTTAATAATGGTCAAATATTATCTTCGAAAGAAAATAAATAAATAATTTAAATTTACTTAAACCTTGCCTGTGTACGAAGGTATTGTGTATGAGTATACAAGGCATTTTTTTATAATAAAAACTCAAAATCATATCCGAAAATTATTAACGTTTATGAAGAAATTCTGTTTTACACAAGTAATTTAAAGTTATTAAAAAAATAATATTTTTTTATTATTTAATGATATGCAACTGCCAACTTATATTTTTTTATTTCATATTCCTAATTAGAATTTCGAAACAAATCGAACGTATAGTTAATTAGTTGTATATTATAATTATTTGAAGTTAAAATGATTGGAGTCGTGGACAGTTATTTTGTGGGGTACTGTTAGCAGAATAATTCAGTATATAAAACACTAATGTTGATATAATAATAATTAAAATAATATTAATTTTTTAGTGTAGATATACTTGATTGTTAAATAAATCACTTAATCAAGTCACGATTTTATATCAATAAACATGTACTTAAAAATTTGTAAATTTTAATTAATTTTATAACTTTTTATCACTATAGGTTAAATTTTAAATTATGTATGGTTATACAATATATTTTAGTTGAAAACTTTTCTAAAATGATATGGAGGGATACGATTAATATTCATAAAAAAAACCTATAACTATTGATGATATTTATTATTGAAGGAAATTTAGAAAAGCCACTTTACGTCGATGAACCAATGTGGCTAACAATCGATAGACGAGCTGAAGGAGACGATGACTATTTCTGGGTTACAAGAGGACGAAGAGGAAATAGTTGGAAGCATCCGACAGCTACAAGTCTATCAACAAATTCAAATTATCGTTATAGAGACGAGTCTGATAACAAAATTAAATAAAAACTCGTTGTTACTTTTTGACAATAAATTATCATGTAGTGATTTATAATTTCTATGATAAATTAAAATAAAATGTTTATTGGTTTATTAATTTGTTTTAATGTTATTATTTTGCTAAAATACTAAATCAGCAAAAATTGTCTTGTTTCATAACTAAAATAACTCCAACACGTTTGAAACAAATAACATTAAGATTAATAGTCTGTGTACCTACATTATATATTTATTATTTTCGAACAGTTTAACGGCGTATGAACTCATAAAATGATACAAAAATAACTCGTAGAAATAATAATAATCATATAAAAACCTTAAACAATATAGAACAATATTACCATATTTTTATTATTATATAAGAGTGTGTATGTGCATTGCAATAAAAATAAATGCCAATACGTGTGACAATACGTCACGCCTACTTGTTGCAAAAGAAATAAAGCGCCACCCATCACATTCGGGGAGTATATATCTTTAAGCGCTCTCTTGATATCCTTTTAAAAGCTGATCTGGTAGTGACGATAACTGTAGCCGTAGGATTTCAGCGCAATAATACAGGTAAGATACAATTAATAAACATATAATATAAATTCAGAATAGTATCCGTTAGAATTCTTATTTATAAATAATTCTGCAAGTTTTTTTTCTCATTGCAAGATTTTCAAACCTAATTATTTGACTGAAATAATACAGACATTTATCCTAAGATCATTGAAAATTTGGTTATAAGTCAAAAATAATACTTAATTTATGAAATATTAAATTTATATACCGGCCTATAGCAATGAATTATTCTTTAGCACAATAGGTTAATAAATAGTATTTTTGTGTTAAAAAAAAAATAGAAAAGATACCAATTTACTATAGCATGTGATAAATTTATATATATATTCATATATTCATAATTATATTGCGTTAATAACAATTACCCAAGAAATACAGTTTATATACTATGCTCGTACGTCTATACCAGCTGTACGGATACAATATTATTTTAAATTCGTATTTATAGAAAATATTTATATAAATTTATTTTGTGTTAAATTATTTATTATTTGTTTGACGAACAAATAAAGCTTATAAAATATAAGATTAATCCAATTACTACATAATATTACATTTAATTATTACATAAAATATCAGTTATTACGTAAGAATGTAAAAGGTACTTAACTTTTTTAGACGTCAAATTAATAAAATCTAAATTTAAATAATTTAAACCTATATTGAATAGGAAACAAATATTTATTACATTTTAAATTTATTTTATTAATAGTAGGTTTCAAAAAAAGATTGAAATTTTTCAAGTTTAGAGTAAAAACAGAATCAAAGTATCAAAGTAACAATAATTTCTATGTTCAAAATATGAAAAAGTAAAATAAAAGCGAAATGTTTATTTATGTTTATATAAAATATTAACACACAACATAAATTTATTTATTTTTAATGCTTAACTTTGTTTTTTTAAGCTTATAAGGTTTTATAATTGATAATTCATTGTTTGATAAACTTCTTAAATATAAATAATAACAAGGACAGTGACTGTAGGTATATAAAAAAAATAATAAATACATTTTTAAGAGTGTTATACTTAAAAAACATTACAATTAAGTACTTGAATTTTAAAAGATAATAAAGTTATAGTGGTACCATTTATATAGTAAAATTATTTATTTTATTTTTTTAGTATAAATAGGTTGTAGTTATTGAAAATTTAATTATGAGTTATGATTCTTGTATCTGTATGATTAATCAAAAAGTATTACATTTAGATTTTTGGTTGAACTTATGAATAATTTTACATAAAAGTTAGATAAGCAGTTAAGAAGGTGCTATTATTCAAGTAAAATAATGATCGTCAAGACATTTTTTTCAAAGATTTCTTTCTACTGCGTATTAGAGTATATTATAAATATCTAATAATTAATATGTACACAAACAAACATTATAAAATTAAAGTAATTTCTAATTCAGATTTAGATTTAAAATTTAATATTTAAATAAAAAATATGTAAGTTTAATTCTGTACATTTCATCAAATTATAAAATAAAATTTTAAGTTTTAATGATTATACACGTAGTGAAGCTAAAATTTTTCGATTATATTATGTTATTTTATCAAATTAATACTTTAATAAGTAAGCAGTAAAAATAATGTAATTCCTTCATGTAAAACTTAAAGATAAAAAGTTAGTTCAGAAATTGAGCACAGATTAAATCATAGAAGCAAATAATAGCCATTTAAGAATTTTTTAATAGTTTTTGAAAAATATAATTATTTATTAATTTCTTAATTTTTACTGTTTTCATGCTATTTACTAATAAATGTCATTAAATCACTATAAAATACTTAATTATTTATAATTATCTAAGGAAAAACATATTCATCTTACTTTTGAAATTCTTGAGTAAATAATTTTTTAAAACACTTAAGAACTCTTGTATAAAGGTTAAAATGTCCTAATTACGCTACTACGTGTTAGAATTTAGTTAATTACCTATTTAAAATATTGACCATTATTTATCTGAAAAATTGAATGTAATTTTGTTTTTCAATAAATATCAATTTATACTTTAAACTGAAAACATAAAATATCTCAAATAACATAATTACATTTTAATATAGATACAATACTACATACTAGTATATTTTGTTATATAAATATATTTTATTGAATTAAAAATACATCTGTAGAGAATTAATGATTCTTACGTAAATAAAAAAAGCTAAGTTGCTTTAGTAATTAAATACCTTTAATATTTGCGTTACTCTGTTCAATACGTATTATTTATTTTAAATAATTTATAAATATTGAATCTAATACGAGTCTAATGTGATGCAGGTAATCGAAAAATGTATATACTAAATAAACAAAAAACAAAAATGCCTAGAGAATTTGTTATTGTGGTATTTTAAAATTAAAGATATTATCTATATTTTAACTCTATTTTAATAATTCTAATAATTGATTAACAATCTTTCATTTTAAAACGACACAAGCGATTGTTTTTACGCCTTTATAATTATAGGTTTGTTCTAGAATAATAGTGTATTGTTTTAAAACATAAATATCTTTCATAGTTTAATTATTTCAACGAGAAATTTAATAGGTATGGGTTTTGTCAAAGTTTTTGATTAAATGAGTTGATTCAAGTCGTTGCAAAGACCGTAGAAGTCTTCAAATAAACTTTGCAATGACATGATGATCATAGTAATATTATCTAGTGCCTACTGATAAAATTGAGGATATACAACATATTTAAAGTACTTATACGGCTATACATAAACAACAGTATATAAAATGATAAACGCAATAATAACATGATATGCTATGCAATCATTATAATAAATTGTGTAGAAATAATATTATTATATATTTATCTATGATAAATCATTGGATACGAAAAATGATTCTGAACAAAGACTCAGTTACACCTATTATTAAGTATATTTCATTATATATTTATATTTATACTAAAATAATTAACTTTAAAATTAGTACTATAGTAGGTTGGATTAATTTTTTCCGAAAATATTGCATTGTGTGTATTATAAGTTATAAGTTATAACTATATAAAATATAAAAATATGCATTAAGTTTCATGTACATACACATAAATAATAATTTTAAATCACAAAAAAATAACTAAAATGTAATTTTATTATACTTAGAATATTCTTTGTTTAAATATATAATTTTGTCTATATTAGAATTAAAATATCTATGAAAAAATGTATAAATACATAAACTAAAAATTTTTTTGTGAGCCTATGAGCTACTTACGAGGAATTTTGTTTTAAGTTTTCAAGCTTAAGCTATAAACATTTTCAACTACAAAATTATTTTCAAATTTTAATATTTTGATAAATTTTCTTTTAAAATTTTAACTTAAAATGTTCATATAAAAAAAAAAAATATGACTCTTTATCTTTAATATCTTTAAAAAAAAAAAAAACTAATGAGAAATCAATTATTCAATTGTAAGTCTTTTAAACTATAAATTTTCATCAAAATTTAAAGAAAAAAACTTAAAAAAAAATTTGAGATTTTTAAATATCTATAAATACTTTAGAGTTAAAATATTTAGAAAATTATATTATGAGTAGGAAATGATAAAATCATTTGGTGATAATTTCAAGTATCAACAATAATTAATTTTTGAATTATATCAAAAACAATTTTGTCAAAAATTTGTTTTGGGTAAAAAGGCCTGTTAGATATGCAATCAAATTATTATTAAAAGTATTAAGTATTTTTTACCTTTGACCTCTCAAGTATTAACTAAATTCATTTTTCACACAAAAATCACCATCAAAATCAAAAATTGAACCATTATTTTTGTTTTTACTCTAATGGTGATCATAGAACACTGTAAAATCAATACATTTATGATTCTAAAAGCTAATAATAGAATAATTGCATACGTAATTTTCTTCGAAACTTGGTTTATTAAAGCATAGATATTTTTTATACTTCTATAGGTATTATTATCTATATTCCAAAATTAATTTTATTAATATTTTATTTATAGTTTGATAAAAAATGTTTATGATTATCTATTTCCTGTTCAGTAATCTAAATTAAATATATTCTATACTTTTATGAACCTTGTTTTAATTTAGTTTTATAATTTGCCATTTGGTAATACAATCAATTCGTTGTATAACGAATTTCAAGGGACCGAAAAAAAAAGTTTGTTATATTGATATTTGTATTTTATCTCAATATTTTGTTATATCGTGAGTTATATATGAGTAGAGTATTATGAGATACTGACATAAAGCATAAAAAATTGCTACTAAAAATTGCATTTGTTCAATATTTGCATTTTGCATTTAATTCTTATTTATTTTACATTTTTAATTGTGAGACAAAAATAATTAAAATTGTCTATGATGCTCAATAATATTTTATCTTCCCTAAATATCGTAATTAAAGAATATTCTTATGTATTTGTATCTTAGTCAAAGGTATAATGTAAAATAAGTTTTAAATTATTGTAAAATAATTTGTAACTGTAATTAACTACAGGGGTATAATTTTTTAACTAAATTTTTAACATACTTTGAAAATTGAATTGCATTTAGTGAAATTAATAATATACATAAACGTTCTCACGAATAATGTTTTTGAATCATTACACAAAATAATACATATTAAATACATAACAAACATAATTTTATCCCAATTTAAACTACAAATATATATTTAAAAATATAGTATTTTTAATTTTTAGAATTATTAGTTTCAATATGAACTAATAATGATGAACATTGTATTAAATGTTCACACCTTAACTATAAAAAATGAAGATTTAATACATTTTTTTTACTACAAAATACTTGTAGTTTGAATATTTTAATGATTTTAATGAATTTTGTAAAAATTTGAATTTCAAATGCATATAAACAAAAATACGCCTATGTAATTTATAATTTAAATAGATACAAAATTAAAATATGCCTAATATTGTGTTAAATTTTCAAGAATTTTAACCCAGCAAATAATTTTTAACCGACATATTTCTTTTTAGGTAATAGCTAAGAGTCAAAATATTATGAAATTACGTATATGATACATAAAACATGATAGAATAAACATTTAGTGAAGATTTTGAATATTTAAGAATATTCGTTTTTGATTTTCAACATCAAACATAATTTATTAGAAAAGAAATATTTGTTATACAAATTAATATTTTATGTTATAAAAATTTGATCTTCAAACAATTCAAAAATTAGTTTTGATTAAATCTTATTTTAGTATAGATTGCAAAACGTAAAAAGAATTTTGAAGTTAATATTCAAATCTTAGTAACTATAAACAATTTATAATTTTTAATTTTCAATATTTCTTTTTTACTAGAAAATAAATCATTTATTAGAATCTTTGTATTGAATTTTTAAGCAGCTTTACTTAATCATAAACTGTTTATCAACATTTATAAAATAAATTCAAAAATTTCTATTGTCTGTAAACAGTTCAAAAAGAATCAAAATATTTAGAAAATTATATCGTATATAGAAAGTACAAACATAACAATTAAGGACAATTTTCAGATATCAACGGTTATTCATTTTTGAATTGTAAAATAAGGAATTAATTTAATTGAAAACGGTTTATCGAGAAAATTTGTATTTTTCATTTTTTTTTAATTTTTTGTTTGTTTTTCATTATTATTTTATAAAATATTATACATTTTTAAAGTAAAAACTAGATACAATTTGCTATCCAAAACTACTTTTTAAGTTGAGAATCGAAGCATTTTATCGACTGTTTATTTCGTTTATAGGTATACATAAAAAAACACATCATTGTAAAATCAATATATTCATTGCTCCACTCAAAATTTAAAATATAAAGATACTAGTGATATTTTAAATGTTTTATATGCTATTATAGTAAGTAAGAACAAATTATATCACATGTTTCTAATCTTATCAATATTATCATCAAAATGAAAAGTTACGTATACTATCAGTAAGGTATTATTCGGATGATCAATTCAACTTGAATTCTCGGGTGTTGCCGATTTAGGAATTCATGTCCTAATGTTCCAGAACTTAATTTGAATAAAATGTATATTCATATTATTTATTTTTTTTTTTGTTGATAAATGTATATTGATAATTTATAAATTAAAAGTAAATTAATCACTCACTGATATGCATTATAAATGCTTACATTTCGATATTTTTTAATTCTAGCAAATATTAATTTGTTCAACTGTAGTATTAAAATATTTATAAATACGCTAACTAATACATGGATGGGTAGACGGAAGGAAACAACTACAATTTAAAGTGCTTTAAATTCATGTTTGGAAACCTTAAAAGAATAAAATATTATATTATTATTTATTAATAATTATGCTGTTAAAAAAATATCTTAATTTAATTTAAAATGATCTATGACTGAAATATACATTAAACTTGAAAAAAAATATTTATATTAATAACTCCTAAACAAAAATAATTTAATGTATATGCATTCCATGTACTTTTTAATTTAAGTATAAAATATTGCACATTTCTTAAAACTGATTTTTAAGTATTTGTATCTACATATGTACTGTAAGACGATTTAATTAAGTATAATTTTTATTTTAAATAAACTAAAAATAAGTTGAATAAAAACATAACTATATTATAGACACAAATCAGTATTGTTTTTGTTCATGAATAAATCAATATTTTGTAAAATTAACGAGTTAAGTAAGAAAACAATTTTTCAATTTTAAATCATTCATCAATTTTTGATACGTAAAAAAATTAACTACCTGTCCATATAATATAGTCTCCAATGACCAAAAAAGGTGAAACATGTCTACGAAAAATATTCTTCCTTGTTAAATCTACACCAGAGGGAATAAAAAAGATCCCCTCATTTACAAATCCGTGTTATTATTGTATGCATCCGTATATATTATAAACATATAGATATAAAATAATAAACATATTTAGGTATAATAGATACATAGCTAAACAATAAATAAGTCATTTTTTAAAATATGATTAATTTAATTGTTATTAGCATTTGTATTAAAAACAATTTTAACTTAATAAGCAATAATCTTACAGTTAAATTTATTTATTTATCCAAAAAAATCGTTTTTGTTTTACTTTTCAACTATTAGTGACAATAATTATACTATTAAAATTTAAGCTTATAATTCGTAATTATTGAAAATAATCATTGGATCAATCAAAAGATCATTTTTATATTAATGGAATATTTTATAAGTGTATCATTACTGTTATCTCAATACCCATCAATGTTTTGAAAAATATTTTTCTTTTACGTGATATGAAGTTATAAGTAAAAATTAAAAATAAAGGAAAACCACGAATTTACACAAAATTGATTTTGTTATTTTTGTGTAATTCGAAAAAATAGTATCCATAAATACTTAAAATACGAATATTCACTAAATGTTTATATTACTTTCTATTTACGATTAAATTTGAAAAATATCTATTACCAATATTTATTGGTTGAATAGTTGAATACCTACTTAAAAAATGAGTATAATGCTCATCATAAGTTGGTTATTTCTAAGTTACAAAATGTTGAAAGTCTATTGTCATGATATTTTTTTTATGAAGGTTTTTCAACTTGTATATATGAAAAATTTTTTTATTAAAAAGCTAAATTCATTTTTAATGAGTATTTCAAGTTAAAATTTTTTATAAATTATAATGCTATAAGATTCAAATTTTACCAGTAAAATAATTATTTTCAATAGGTACATGAGAAATTTTTCAAACATTTTTTAATTTTTTTGAACTATTTATAGACATGACAAATTTTCAATAGTTTTAGTTTTTTTTTTTCTATAAATGTTAATAAAAAATTATTCGCTGTGTTAAGTGTATTCCTTAAAAGTAATTCACACTGAAATCGTAAAATTAAATAACATACTAAGATAGTTAATTTTTATTAACATTTTAATATTTTAAGATCAAATTTGGATGAAAATACTAATTAAAAAAAAAAAAAAAAAGGAATTTAATTATTTTGTTATTATTTAAAAACAATATTCTTAGAAACTTAAAACTTTTGGAACTTGCATTGTAAGTTTTTTACAATTTTTTTTTTTAATTGATACACGTTTTGTCATTATTAATAACATGTCTATAAAAGTTAATAAATTATTCCATTTTAATATAACAAAAAATAATTCACTTATGATAATTAATTTAAGTACACGCCACTTACGAGCCAAATTGAAAGTCATATGATATGTGTAAAGTGTAGACTGTAGAGTGTATTATTGATGTTTATAATTATACGGCTATACCTGCTGTGTCAGTCTCAGACTCTCCTTAGACATCAACCAAAACGTAGATAACATACTACACGATCAAATTTTATGTAGGTATACGACGAGAGTTTCAAACTTTTACATATATTATACAATTATTAACTTAACTATATACAATGATATTTTTGATTTATTTTAAAATATTATATATTTGTAATATGAATCTTTTTTAACTCTAATACGGTATTTACAGAATGATAAAATCAAATTTCGAGTTAAATAAATTGATATGATATAGTTTAAATTTATAATATTATTATAATAGTTGTATATGACATAATCCAAGAAATAATAAATATCAATCAACCGTATTACTAAAAGTAAAATAAATGGATATAATAGTTATATACGTTTATAAAAAACAAACTACGAAATAAACTTAGTGTTATTATAGGGAGGAAAATCGCTTACAATCGTTTTTCGTATATTATAATAATATATCATTGAATTCAAATTTAACACACACATGATTCACTAGACACCAAATGTATAATACAGCAATACTCACTTTTTTCCTTTTTTATCATTATAATTATTATTATTTTTTAAAACATATAATTTTAATCACATATTTCAATGTAGATTTTTTTTGAAAACATTGACTTGTAAAAATAGGATTTTAAATTAGTAATCAATTTGTTTTAACTATAATTAGGTATTAGTAAGATTAAATTAGTGGAATAGCGAACCAATATTTGTAGGGGTACCTCTATACAACTTCACTCTATTCATTTAAATTTAAAATTAAATATTCTCACAAAATTTAATTTTTATTTGTCAAAATAAATTCTCAAAAAAATATAAGGCTTTAGTATGTGAAATTAAAAATGTTTGCTATCATTTAAAAATGTGAGTAACTATAAGAAAATATAATCTTTTTCAAAAGTTTTGTATTTATGTGGCTTTAAATTATCTGCAAGAGATCAACATTAATTTTTTTTAAGATATTGAAGGTTCACTGATAAAAAATTACTCTGCATATAACGGAAGTATCTAAAATGTTTATGAATAGAGTTTAAATGTAATAAATATCTATACTTGAATAACGTTAAAAAGATTGTTTGATTATCAAAATGTTTATTAATTGTTTATACAACCTATGTTTCAGTATGGTAAAAATTGGTTTACCCTGGTTGTTGCTGGTTTTAATGAAACTCACTAATCGAGAAATCAAGTCAGATGAGATTATATCCTTACAAGAAGTGTTTGATATATGCCAAGTAGAACCTAGCACCGATATATGTGATCTACTGGAAAAATCCTCGAGTCTAGTTGACCTAAACAAATTGGATTTACCAGAAAAACGCCGACAAAAGACAGTATTCTCCAGTTGGGGTGGAAAAAGACAAAGCACTTATCCATATGGCGGAAAACGTCCAGCATTTTCCAGTTGGGGAGGAAAACGAGCTTCGGATAAACACGGTCGACCTAAACAAACATTTTCAAGTTGGGGTGGAAAAAGAAATGAATTAGATGGTTATGATAATGGAGAAATACCTGAACATCAAATGGATAAAAGAGAACTTAATGGAATTAAACAAGATAAAAACAATTATAGAAATAAAATGACCAAAGGAATTCATGCATTATTTACTATTTTCTCAGACTGGTCAAGGGATCCAGAAGAAAAGAAAGGCATTCGATACGCTGGTATTAAAAGTATGAGGAGAAGTTCCGATTTTTTTCCATGGGGTGGAAAACGATCTACTGGTGATAAATAAATATGTTTTTCATTATAGTTGATGATAGGTGTATTCAATTTTGTCAAATTTTACCATAAAAACAAAAATTATTTAATCCTTATCTTACTTAAGTGACGGTAAGCTTACTTAGGTAGTGTTAAATTGGTAGAAACGTATATTATGTATTATCAAAATAAACCTATTTGTGATTAGATGACGAAATGTAGTTATTGTTCTATATTGTTCTACATTAAGTCAATATTATGATTTATATTATATTATTGTTAACACTATTTACAAAATCTTAAAGATTTTGAAATAAAAATAAATCTTGAAATTATATTACTTTCTTTATGATAATTAATAAATATAATTTTCTGTGTACCTATAAGTAATTTAAATAATTATATTGATCAAGATTCATACTTCATGACACGTTTAGGGTTTAAAAATAAAGAAAATGTAGCTTCAACGATTATCACAAGTATTAAATGCCTGTATAATGTATTTCTTAAATTTAATATTATATATTGTGTACAATATAAAATTAAATAATGAAACGGTTTGGTGAATTGATTTTTGAGGAGGTTGTTAAAATTATTAATAGGTAAGTAAATTAGTTAACAAGTTGTAAAAAATAAATAAGACACTTTAAAGCACACAAAATGTAAGAAATTACGACAAGTACAAGAGGCTTCTCCACCTGGAACCTTGAAACAATTAAACCTCAAAAATTATTGATAAATATAGTTGTATAGCTGCATCTTTAATAAATTTAAAAATTTAAGTTGCACTTATAACACATAACATGTTACCTAATTAAGTATTTTTTTAATAAATAATTACATAGTTTTAGTATTTACCATTTATTGTGCAAGATATTGATGTTAGTGCAGCTCAAATTAGTTTGTATGAGATATTTTCTCTATTTCTGTGTTTATAATACATAAATAGACAATAGTATTTTATGCCTTTCTAAGACAGTGGCAACTTTTGTGAATTAATAATGATGAGAAGAATTTTTTTTTAATATTATAGTTTATCTTTTGATCTTTATTTATAAGTTAATAAACTTATCACAATATTTTTAAAATCTGACATATAGATGGCTTAAATAACTATATTTGTACCTACTGAATTAGTTATAATATTTTTTGAGTATAACAATAAGCTGAAGGTACAGAAATTATAATGATGTTTACATGTATAATATTATATAAGTTACAATTTTATTTGACACATTATTACTTATTAGTGTTATTACCAATTTGAGTACATATATTTTGTCTTTAAACTTATCAATAATTCAATTTTTACCATTTTTTTTTTATTTTTTAACAAACGATTTTTTTCTTTTTTTTCATGTACAAAATAATTTTAGATTGAAGAAGAAAAATATTTTGTATTAACGCTTAAAATTTAAATATGATGAATTTTTAGAGAAGGGTAAAATACTCAAAATAGCTCAACCTTTATTTTTTAGGATTCATACATATTTTTGTAATATTATATGAGTGGTAGGTACAATATGGTCATAATAGTGTTTACAGGTAAGGCCTTTTTAGTAAAATAACACAAAATATGCAATATTATCAAACTAGAAATGGATTTATAACACACTTATGGCGGAGAGGGTGTTATGATTAAGTCTAAACTTATAAATTATAATATATTATTTTTAATATTTTACCAATGTGTACCAATACTAATTAGCAATAATTATATTTGTAGTTACTGCATTAGTTTTATTGTTAATACTACAGTCAAAGATGTCTGTTGTCTACATCAGTATTTCTCAAACAGTGTGCTGTCAGATAAATTAAAATGTCTCAAAGTACAATAAATAACACAAAATGTACAAATATTTTTAACACAATTTACAAAATATACTAAAATATATTTCAGATATTTGATATAATTTCTATGATAATTAAAAGTAAGTTATTTGTTATTAATATTCATCATTATTTTTTATGTTATATTTTTTCTTAGTTATTTTTAATTTTACATTACCATAATTACAATTAATATTACTCATGATTCTTACTTTTGTATTGTATGTCACAAAGTATGAAATATTTTAGTATATTAAGTTCTAAGCTATTTACTAGTGGTTGATAACTAATAGACATAAACGTATGAAAAATACTAATTAATAACTATAATGATCTATTATTTAGATTCTGCTGAAGATTGTCATAAATAACCAAAAATATTTATTTAATAATTGTGGTTTTAAAAATTGTTTAAAGAGAGTTCTGTAATTGTGTGACCTAATATATTGATGGTTTTCAATAATTTTCAAGTACCTAAATGATTTTTGTTGAAATTATTAATTTTTAATATTTAACTTAATACAATTTAGGAAATAGTATTGAACGAGTGATATGGTTGCAAGTTTTTAGACGGGTGACTACCTGGGAATTTTTGCAACATACACGTAATGTTCTAACCTAGCCATAATTGTTTAGATAAATAGTATCTAGCTGTTATATCTAGTGTTTTAGGACAACCAATTGTCTAAAAATCGAATTTCTTTAATTTAAGTCAACATTTTGTCTTTTACTAAATATTCCTATAGTAGAAAAATTATTGTTATGATAAATGATTAAATAATCAACTTAATTATTTAACTGACTACTTAAATTCGCTTTAAACTTATTTTCTTAGGGTTATTAAAAATATTTAATTATTAATAAATAAATTCACTGCTTTCCTGTTGCCTCATAACAATTTTTGTTATTTATTATCACTAATAAATCATAATTTTGTCGATTAGTTATCTTTCTTACTTTAATATTGAGTTAATTTTTGTCTTATAGACGTATGTTAAAAAATAATGCTGACCATTGGGTGTGATATACTAGTTACGATAAAATATTGGGTTGAAACTGATGGTTAACTCAGGGAGAGTGGTATACAATATTTATTATAAAGCTTATACGAAAGACATTTGTTTCGGTTTAAGTAAAATAAAATATGGCAATTTTAACTAAATTTAATTTACATAAAGAAATTATTATTACACTTAAATAAAATGTGTATCAAAATTGTATGTACACACATCACATAATCATTGCTGCAATTTGTAATATTTTTCTTTTTTTTTTTTATAATGATTAAACATGATATAAAAAATAAATTGCTATTATAAAATGATAAGATAGCTTGTACTTTTCATTACAAATATATTCAAAATTATTTTTTGTTCTAAAACAATGGTCTTAGAATTCAACAGTCTATAAATGGAGATGTTCTTTGCCATCCTCTTTGATTCCATATCTGAGTTAAATATTCGATATAATTTGATTATTTCATAAAAAATACATATATTTTAGTTGGAATATTCTGGAACTACTACTACTACTACTACAAAAAAAAAACATTTAAATACAAGAAGTCCAAAAGCCTAGTTATTAATTATTACTAGGCAAAGAACTGTTATGACTTTAAAAAATAATCTAAAAGAAATATAATGATATTTCGGAAAATAAAATGCTTATAGAAAATTACCAAATTTAATTGAATTGTTGTAATTTATTGTGGAATATTCTCAGGTATATTTTTATTTTAGGTACATTTATTTATATTATACATTTTATTTTGTTTTTATATAATTATATTGCTTCCATATAATAATGTGATCTAATATTTAAAAAAAAATAAAATAATAGTTTAATATATAAAAACTGTCATTGACAATGATAGAAGTACAAAGATTATCACAAAAATGAGTAGAAAATATTTCTACAAAATTGATATATCTAATTATTTTTAAACTATATTTTTATTAAGTCTTTATGAAACTTAGTTTGTTTAACAGAATAATTAAAGAAAATCATTGAACCGTTGATACTAAATATAATATTGGATCCCAGTATTCCAAATACGAATAGGGTTTCTATTTGATTTCTTGTTTAACTATAATATCTATTTAAATAAATAAAAAAAAAATGCAAATAGTAGAAGTCTTAAAGTTTAAATTCATTACTTATTAGTACCTAATTTACTATTGAATTACACAATGTTTATACATAAAAAATACGAATGAAATAAAATAAATTTTAAGCTGTAATCTATAATTATTTTAATATTTAATGGTAAAATATTTTTTAATAATAAAAAATAAATTTAATTGAATAGATGAAAATAAATATTTAAAATTAAATTGTTTTTATGAAAGGATTGATATTTGAAGCTATTAATAAAAATTATAATTACTGAACCAGTCAGTATATTATTATAACCATATAATAACACGTAAACATGTAGGAAGGATTTAACCTCTTTAAATTATATATTAAAATCACAATAGTATTATACATTATTTTCAGTCATCATACTAGACATAAATTACTGAATCACTGTATATCCAATTAATTATTAGTTATTGCTTTTTAAATAAGGAATAGTACTAAGATATTTACTATTTAATATGGGTTATGTTAGGTAATAATTTATAAAAATGAGTAATTTACCTGAAAAGGAAGCGTAAGTAGTGTTAATTTCAAGAAGAATATCACACGATTAAAATATAGATTGGTTTTGATTAACTTTACAGTTCACACTAAATAGTTATCGTAAAAAAACAATAAAATTAATAAACATTATTTTAACGAAGTACAAACATTTTTTCAACATTTTTTTCTTACGTAGGTATTTACTGTTTACTGGTCTAATCCTTTGATAAACCTAAAACCATGATAATATAGTAAGGATAAATTGTTAATAAATACAAATAGGTAGTACAGAATAGTGTAAATTAATATAGCTACTTTTTCATATATTCTGTGATAATAACAAGTTAAACGTTATCATTTGTTATAGACATAATTTTTCCATTGTAAATACTGTTTTATCAACAACTTTTAAATTTTAATAATTTAATCATAGCAGGTTATAACATTTATTTTAAGCAATTCTATGGTACTATTACCTACCATATTCATCTAAGTTTATACTGTATATATATATATATATACTAATAAAGACCAGCTATAAACTATAGTCAAGTAATGAATGTATTATTAAACTGATAAAAAAAAAAACCAAACAACAAGTGTTATCAACAACTAAATACACTACGCTGTTCCGCAGATCTTATCAGTTAATTTGCTGTGGACCGTGGTCATTACTTTATAGTGTTTAACGTTTGTACTGTTTACTGTTTAGTGTATTTGGAGATATTTTAAAAGTAAACTTCGTAAACAATTTTTATTTTTTATTTGTTACGTCAGGTGCAATTTTTTCTCATAGTATTTTAGTTAATTTTAATTGTATTTCGTGCTTTTTGTGCAATTAATCTGTGTGATTTTGTAATCTAACAGGATTTGAACAATCAAGGGACACGTGCACAATATTTGTGAAAGGCAGAAAACAGGTGATATTTTTATCAAATTTTTCCACTTATAAATATTTTTTTAAAATAACTGTATATCGTACGTGAAAACGTGAGCTAACTGTAAATGTAATTATGGGAAGTTTCTCTTTTCTCTTTTGAATTTTAACCTATTTGGTTTAGTGTATGTGTTATGGTCAATCAATATGGATGTTTCTTTTTTAAAGGTTATTTTTGCCTTTATGGCATTTTCAATTGTCATCTTAAGTGTTCTAATTAATTTAATTGAATCTAAATTACCAGTATCTATAGTGCAAACGTTCAGATATGGTAAATTTTCAAGTGAAAAGAAACATTTCTTGGTCAACTATTTGGAAGTACCAAAAAATTGGTTCAAACATTTTTATGTATTTGCTGCTATTTGGTCAACACTTGGATTTGTATTAGTAATATTAGCTTTTGTATTCAAAATGCCTGTTCCTGAATTCATAACAAATTTCCTGGACTTGATAGCACTTAAGAATCGACGGACTTCATACAATGCAACTGCTGCTACTGTTGCCATGTTCTGTATGCTAATCCAATGCTGGAAGCGTTTTTATGAAACTCATTATTTAAGTATTTTTTCAAATTCTAAAATTAATATTTCTCATTATGCTATTGGCTACATACATTATTTTGGTTGTATAACTGCCATATTAGCTGAAGCACCATCACCTTTTACTTCACTTTCTGTTGATCATCTACCTTACTTCTTCATTAATGATTTAAACATTAGACTGATTATTGGAACTATTATATTTTTGTGGGCTTTTCAACAACAGTATTTAGCAAATGTAAACTTGGTTAATTTGAGAACAAATAAAGAAGGAAAAATTATAACATATGAACACAAAATTCCAACTGGTGGTTTATTTGACAAAATATCTTGTCCTCATTTGTTTTGTGAAATGCTTATATATATGGCCATATACATCATGCTTTGGGGAAGTCAAATTTGGCCATACATTTTTTTCTGGGTATTGAGTAATCAGTGTGAATCTGCAATGCTTAATCATTGGTGGTATCAATCAAAATTCAAAATGTACCCAAAAGAAAGATATGCGTTCATTCCATATATACTGTAAGACATTAAGGAATTGATTTAAACTATACTTTTGTTATTAATTATTTGAATTATTCTAGTTATTTGTTAATAATACACCTACTTATATAATTTATATACAAAGAAATTTACATATTTATTGGTTTATAGTCTTTTTTTTATTTTCATTAGGAATTCATTTTATGGTGCTACTATTATACTTCTGTTATTTATGTTAAATATTATTATTGCCTAAATTTGTAATCTGTTCAATGTTACTTTACATGTCAATGATTATTTTTTATAAATTATTACATAATTATTGCTTAAAATGTATTATATTTATTTTTAAATACACAGGAGCTTTATTGTATTGTCCTATTATAAGTTATTTATGATGTATGTTTTTTATTTGAAAATAAAATATTTTGGGAAAAAAGTTCTTACCTAATTTGTATGTATTCTTCATAAATATGAATGTTAGTAATGTTAGTATTAAATAATTGCTTAAAAAAAAAAATTGTCTAATTTTATCTTAAAAAGCGATCAATTATTTGCTTTATTATATGTTTTATAAATTTAAAATTATTTATCTAAAATTATACCTAGATTTTAGTACATCATATAAAAATACTGAGGTATTAATGTGCACATATTTTGCTATGCTATTTACCACATAATATTATGTAGTTTATATATTGTGTACTTAAATTTATTTGCTTTTAAAACTCGTCAGTTAGACATTTATGGCAGATAATAAAAATGTATTGATTTATTATATTATTTATATTATATTATATACTATAGTACTTAAAATTTTGAAAAATCCTTTCTAAGTGCATGTTGAAATCATAATATTAAACTAATCTCAAAATTTCAAATTGATAGCTCTAATAGATTCGGTTCTGCGTTGATTATGAATTAAGTCACTTAGGAGAGTCGTTTATATATATACACAGATTTAATTTTTCATAATATATTCTACAACTTTTACATTAAATTTTCATTTAACATTGTTGTCCAAGTGATTTTTTTTTAACTTTTAGGCTATTAGATGTAATAGAAGATAATATTTAAAAATTAATTTTTTAACTATTAACTGATAAGTTATTTTTCATCATTAGCTCTTAAAAATGTTCATATAATTAAATTGTAAACAAGTTAAGCACCCAATGTTTAATTATACCTATAAATTTTAATATTTGAAAATTGTAAAACGTTTATGATAATTAAAAGTTAAAACTTGATGCTAAACAAATTATTTAAATGTACTGTGATTAAAGTTTTATGATGAGGTAAAGTAGGTAACTGCTCTGTTATATAGTAGATGTTATAGAATGTACCTTACCATTGAGAGTCACTGTAATCTATGTGTTAAATTTTAATTCAATGATAAATCATTATATAATGGAAAACGATTCAGAGTGAAAATGGTCTATCAACGATTATCGTGTATTAATAAGTATTATTCATGATGTTGTAAAAATAATTTATTTTTCTACCAGTATTATGGTGGGTTAATCATTTTTTTTTCAAAAACATTGTATTAATTATATTATTAATATTTAACGATTATAATAGTTGTAAGTAGACAATCAACTATAATATTTGTTTTCTTTATAATTGTATACCAGAAATCAAGATAGTGTTAATATTATTTTTCTGTAATATGGTATGAATTTATTCATGTTAAAAATAGGCAATAGCCTAAAATTAATCTAAATGTTTTATTTTTCTCTTAAAATATTATAACACACACAAAAATGTAAAGTCTTCATCAAAATATTTATGAATCTAAACAGAATAATTAAAATTCTTTGTTTAAATATCTATTTAAGTCCAAATTTTTACTATAACTATTTTATGAACAAAAATTGTGCTTAATATTTTTAGTATGAAAACTAATGAACAGATTTTTTTGTAATTTTTTAAACCTTAGCTATAATAATTTAACATTTTATAAATTTTTAATTACAAAATAATTTACAAATGTTTGTACTTTAATAAATTTTTTTTTTTAAATTTGAGCTTGAAAAGGTTATAATAAAAAAATCAAATTTTAAATAGCTTTAGTAACAACTTAAGAAAAAAAAAAACATATCAGATTTCAAACTTTAAAATTTTGTTCTTGATTATTATTTTCAAAAGTTCAAATATGCATCATAGAAAATGGCATAGCATGTAGCTTAATTATTCAAATAGTTTCTTATCCGAGAACAAGAAATTGATGAATCTGCTTAAAATAATTTCCATACAATATTTGATAATAGGTTATTTTATCAACCTATCAAATAATATCTTAGATACTTCTATTTTATATAAAATTTTAAAAACATACATTTAGAACAGAACCAAAGTGGTGTTTCAATATATTTTTCACACATAATAGAAAGAAAACTTATAAAATTGTTTAAAATACTTATTTTTATTACATTGTGTAAAATGTATAAAATCTAATCAAGCTATAAGTTAGTTGTTTTAAAAACATTTCAATTTAATAATGTGATGTCAGTCATTTATATATATATGAAATATAACAAAATATACAAAAACTTATATTCTACACTTTTTGTTATTTAAAAATTATTAATTTATAAGGTGTGTTTATAGTTAACTTGGAAATAATCATGGTAAAAAATAAATAACACAGAAATGTAACAATTATTTATGAAACATTTTTAATTCAAAAATAAAATTTAATATTAAGTTATCATGCTTGTATTGATAGCAAAATAAAAATTAAATAACCACTGATTTATAAATATTAAAATTTATTTATAATTTTAGTTATAGCTTCTGTTTTCTTCGACTTACTATAATTTTAAACGATTTTTTAGTACTTCAACTATATATTTAGGTTCATGCTGCAACAGAAATAGTAAAATACATAATTATGTAAGTCATTTTTAAGAGTCAATTTTCTATTAAAACTAGTATTATATTTGATGAACATTTATAAATAAAAATTTAGGTGAGTATACTTCATTCAGTTTAAGAAAATACCTGACTTTTGCATATAAACCAAGAAAATCAAGTTTTGGTGGTTAAACCGTATGTTATAACATATTGAATAAAGTATAGTTTGGTTTTCTTACTAGGTATCAATAAATAAAGATAATAAAATACATTATATTTTTGTTTTAGCATTAAAATTAATACCTATTATAAAATTTTAACAAATCTTCATTAGTTAGAGTTAATTATTTTAACTTATAAAAAAAAACAAAAAAAACAAATCAAAGTCCAATGTCCTCATTTACATAATATTATTTACAATAGATAACTTACTTTTAATATATGTATTCCTCTCTCACTCATTACAACTACATCATTCACTCCTTCGCCAACTAAATCTAAATAACAAATTGTATAAACCGAGTCTCTCATATCAAATTGTTGTTGTTCCACCCAATTGTTATTTTCGTAGACATAATTTAAAATATACTAAAACAAAAATGATTACAAAATGTTATTATGTATGATTTTAATATTTGTATTTCAATAAATGTTTAATGTCAATTACATTTCCATAAGTCCCAAGTAGTATTTCATTCTTGGAATCAAAATTTACATCTGTGATTAAAGCACATACAATTGCTTGGTGCCTATTACTGTCAGTCAATGTAATTGCATTTCTTAAATTATTTTCCAACACATTCCTTAAACAAATATAATAAATTTAAAACATAATTTTATTTTATATAACTAAGTTATCAGTACTTGCATGTATACAACAGCACTTTCAACTGCACTTCCTACTAGTAAACAGATTTGTTCTTTTTCATTTACAGTATTACAATCTGGTATGAAATCATCTTCGACAGCTATAAATTGTATAAATTGTACATAAATAATACCAATAAATGAAAATTAAATATTATTAAATAAAGTAAAATATAATATTGATAGTTAGATCAAAATTAGAACAAGTGTTGCCCAGATTACTAAATGTATTTCTAGGGTACTTAATGACCAATACATTTTGTTTCATTAACTTATCAGAACTGATGATAAAAAATTTAATTTATTACTATATAATAAGATGTAATGATACATGGAGATGGGGTAAAATTAATTAAATTTGATTAATTACAAATTTTATTGTAAGAAAAGAATCTATAACTTTTAAATGTTTTCCCAGTAGTGTTCTCAACTTACATTATAAAACAAGAGTAAATAATAAACATGGTATAGCAAGCGCATGAGTGGTGAAGAGGATTCCAAATAATAAAATTTTAATAAATAAATGTACTGTAGAGACTATGGAGGAACTACTCTATTAAGGTTTTACTGTATATAAATATTCTTTTAAAGCACCTGAAAGAATATTGTCAATATCAACAGTTTTTTTATGTATGTTAAATAATTGCATGACTGTTATTGGTGATTCATAACATTCTGAAAAACAATGTAGTATCTGATTTTTTTCAGAATCTACAACTGAGAACATCGAATATCCTGTTTCACATCCATAATACGATATTCTTCTAAAAACATAAAATATTGAAATATGTTATTTAATTTTGAAAATTAAATTTAAAATTAATGATTACTTTTTGTAGTCACTTAATGATTTGGTACCAAAACATAGAACAATGGAGTTTTTCGTGTCTTCAAATTCAATAAAGTAATCCTCAATTTTTTTTTCAACAATTTGTTGTTGTTCATTCTTATAAGCGTGTATTTTCCCATCACTTCCTGATAATAGCCACATGCCATAAATAATATAAATTTGGTTATTATATATTTTTTGTTACTTTAGAAGATTTAATTAAGCTCATAACAAATATATAATTGTTTAATAAAAAAAATAAAATATTAGAAACAGGAGTTACAGTGATATATTGGAGAATTGATAGTGCATAATATTCATTATTTTTTGTTTATACCTCTGTAACAAAACCATTATTTTACAAGTATACACTAGATAAAAATTAGTCATCTTTAGTCATTAAATTATACACAAAATAGTTGATTTTCTTGATGGAAGGTTTCTATGTAAGTTTTTATTTTAAATTTTAACAATTTAGATGATTATTAAGTATAGCATATTAGTTCTTTACCAATTTAAATTATTAAATCATTAATATTATGAATGGAACTGTGAAAAATATTTTTGAAATGCATATTTTACCATCAATATAACACTAGGTGTTTATAAGTATTTATCTTAAGTAATGAAATACTTTAATTCAGTATTGCAACAATTAAAAACCTAAAACTTAAGTAAAAAATTGATAGTATTTTACATTTTTTTGTGTTTCCGACATATAAATGGCATAATTCAATTGAAATGGAACAAAATTCAATTGAAGTGTTTCACAATTCTCCATTATAGCTTCTAATGATGAACCAGGAAATCCTGAGTAAAGGTTTAAGTATGTTTCAGCCGTTTCAGGATCTTCGTTTTCTATAATCTAGAATACAATATTCATTTACTAAATTTAAATTTTGTTAATAATACATTTTAATTTATTACTTAATAATTTATTAATTACAAAAATTGATATAAATACAGCTATTTTTATAACCAAAGTTTTTTTATTCATTAAAGTATAGGGTTATAAGCTAAAACTTGTATTATTTGCGTGTCTTTAAATAAAAAAACAAAATAATTTCTATGAGTCTAAAAACCTACAAATTTTTTGTATTATTGAGATCTAGGTAGTTTTATTTTCTTTTATATGCAACAAATTCTCAAAACAAAATGTTCAGATAAATATACTTAAATGTCTGATTAATATTATAAAACTTTAATGATTTTACAAAATTATAATTCTAAACAATATCTTATATTTTAAAAGAGTATTAAAAAAAAAAAAATATTGGGAAATTGTAAATTTGGATAAAAAATAATTAGCATTAACATTGTGTTTTGTAAGATTAATGACAATTAAGCATAATATGATAACTTTAAAGAAATTATAATTCAACAATATAAAAACAATATATCAAAGGGTTAGATAAGATTAGATGTATTGCATAGGTATGAAACTTAAATTTTAAGAACAAACCTGATTAACGTTAATATATTTATTTGATAATGATATTCTATGAATCTATCAAAACTGACATAGGTTGTAATCGATACTTTTAACAATAAGACTAAATGTATAATTATATTAAGTACATACCAATGCATATGTTATTCCGAAAACAAAATCATCGAACTCCTTACATCTGTTTATGCAGTGTATAGAAATGATCTCTGCATTACCTTTAAAACGATTTAAACAATGAGATAATTAAAATCTTTGTCGATATTGTAGTTCTGATACTAACTTGGAATATTAGAAAAATTGAGTCCGACAATATAAGTTTCGACCTTATCGTCTACTATCTTAGACTCCAGGGTGATCATATCTTTTTTTGAAGCGATCATAACAATTTTTTGATCTCCGTTGACTTTATGCATTACCGTTGCTGAATAAATATTCGCCGGACACAACGTGTCGTATACTACAGACTGTACTAATCCGTTCATTTTTCTTTAAATTTCCTGGAGATTTAATTCACAAATCGTTTGTACTCGTGTTTATAAAATGTTTTCCGAACGACACGTCTACAGATAAACAGGTCCGACGGCACTCGTTGCAACTTTCGATTGTGCATTTACGGGTTGTGCTGTGCTGAAACGTCTGAAACGTCGAAAGGATGTAAATAACATTATGTATCCAATATCACAGAATAAATAATATGATAATAATATGTTAATATACATTAATAGTGTTAAGCGATTAACCCTAATTCCGTCAGTTGGTTTTTATCAATGAATCGTACGATAGCGCGGTCTACGCACCATAAAATAAAACAGTAGAAAATGTTCCGAAGTACCGAATTGATCGTACAGAGTGCGCAGCCATAATGTAAATCGCTATATTTTTACTGGGCTGCAATATAATTTTATTTGTAGGAGGAGGTATCTATAAATACAATAATGATACCTATTGTTTCTGTTTCTAAACCGCTGATCCGATGTTGATGAAATCGTGTAAGGAGATAGTTCGAATTCTGAGAAAGAACTCTGAATGTTATTTTTTTCGATGTTAATCGGAGGTGAAACTAAATAACCACTCAGAGTATTATGATTAAAAGTCAACTGCTAGAACAGAAATTTAAAACTTGGAAGGGTGTTGATTATATTTTTTCATTTTTTAAACATGGTTCTTATAATTTTTATTTTTAAGAATATTTACAATCTATGTTAATAATACACAATAGGTTTATAAATTAAATAAATTATAAACAGAAACAATTGTATATGGAGACATGAGAGAAGACAATCCATTAGTAGCACCTTTGAGGTACTTAGACTTATTCAAAATGAATTAGGTACCCGATACTTTGCTCTTGTCATCTTAGGTCATCTAATTTTACGCCATGTGACTACGTAATTCGGGGATATGTTAAGGATTTTTTATATGTACCATTATTGGCATTATTATCATTAACCAAGAGGAGCCCTAAATTAATGCAGTTAATTACGACGGATATGCATGAAATGAATTAGAGTTCTAACTAGATGTTGTTCGTGTGACTTAGGCAAGCCACTTTGAATACTTATTGATACTATTACATACATTTTAAATATTATTCTTTTATTGTATTATTTGTCATTCTAAACCTAAAATCTAAAAAGATTTAATAAGTATTTAAAAACGGTTAAATTATTTTTGAGAATTATGTAAAATATATTCAAAAAGTCTTTTATCCATCTTATAGTATCTTTGTAGAAAATTAATATAAGTATATGTGTTTTTCTTAGCAATAAGTGAAAAAATTCCAATTGAAAAGCATAAATTTGAATTTTTTTTCAACAATTTAAAAAATGTCAAAAAAAAAGTCTATAGAATTTACTTTTTTTAAATTTTCAAGATAGCCAATTATTTTGGTCATATGTATTACAATAGTGTTAAGTAGAAAAAAAAATAATGTTAAAATTGAGTGGAAATCATCTGTGTTAAAACTTAAAACAAATACATTTTTTGATTTCGTAAGAATGATGTAGCAATATGTTTCAAAGTACGAATCGCATTGTAATTTTGTTAATTTCGATTAGAACGTTTAACGTGGATTTTTTTTAAAATGAATTCGTCGATAAAAATGAATGTACTTAATCATATTGGATATTGACTTATAATTCTATATATGCCTATTTGCATTACATAAGAGTTAAAATTAAATTTTTTACTATTATTAAATTAATGATATAATATAGCTATCTTAAACATTTGAAATTGTATAACATCATTTTGAAATTTTTGAAAAATAAAATTAAAATGTATGCTATTTAATTAAAATTTTTTTTTCTAATTTCTTCAAATAAATTGATTTTCATGGAGATAGGTATTAACAGTGTTAGAGGACTCTGAGACACGCGGTGTAATATTAATTATTAGTATTATCACTTTTTTTTTTGAGTTAACGATTTGTAATTATATTTTGCTTGTTAAGGTGTTTTATGGCTAATTTATTTTTAGCGTTCTAGTGGGATTTCCTGGAAGAGTTAGATAGGACATTCGGGATGTAGGTCTACATACATCCTACATACTATATTAATAAGTTTGTTTTGAAATTAATTATAATGTCGGTGTGCTAGTTTTTTGAGTGTGGGGATATATAGGTCATTGTTTAAATTTGAGTTAGAAATATGTCATTGACATTCGGTGGCTATTTATAAACTAATCGCCTAAAATGCTCTCAGTGAGTATAATATGTTGGATGATTTTGATGTCATATGAACAAATGGTAGCTTATAATAGCTTCATAAATAAATATTTTGTTTTTAAAGCTGATAAGTGAAGGAGTGAGTTACTGCAGTTTTACTTTATTTTTGGTATGATATTTTAAAGTGAGATTTAGATGGAATTTTCAGAAATTCAATTTCTAAAGGCTAAGAGGGTAGATAAGTTTTGAGAACATACTTATGCTACTAATATCGTGTTGTGCACAGTACTTAAAATATTTTATAGTAGACTAATTTATTAATGTAGAATATAATTTTAGATATACCTAAGATAAGCAGAATTAAATTTAGTTGTAAATATCCAATATATTTAATGTTATTAGCTGAATATATAGTTGATTGGCATTATTTTATAGAAAAAATTAATTTGTATTTAAATATTTGATTATTGTTAAATTAAGTGGTGGTATTATTATGGTAAATATACTTTTGAGATTATTTATGTTTTAACGTAATTTATAAAATTTTGATTATATTATATTTTTTTAATATCCATTTAAAAATTGTATATATTCTATAAATTCGGAACAAGATGAGATATTGAGATTTTAAAGGAGGGTGTACATTTTTTTTTTTTTTAGGGGAAAAGTAGAACAATAAACTACGCCCTTTAAAGATAGATTTTTGTCACTATTTACCATCCCATTTGGCATTTATACCCATTTTTTTATTTTTGAACAACTGTTATTCACCATATGAGGGGGCTGCATTAGCATTACTTTTCCTTCACAAATACACTATTATCTTGCTGTCTATAGCCATGCGTATTTAGTACATTTAAAGAATAAAATATTATCCTGGTTTGATGATTATTGATAGGGGTAACCTTTAGTCAAGTTTTATTTATAATATGTTTACTGTATTGACTTATCAACTATCATCGGTTATTGTAATCATTAGAATCACCATTTTTAAAAAATGTTATTATTTTTAATTAAGATACATTTTTATTTTACGTTAAGAATACATGAGTTTGTTTTTAAAATATGGGTTAGCAAATATTGTGAAATCCCTGGATAGACTACGGTAACCATTACTATTTTATATGTAATCACTAAAAGTTATCATATAGTAGTTTTCTTCTAATGTTTCATGAAAATCGTACACCACCCGTAATTTATTTATACATAAATAAATTATTGACGGAATAGAAAGACTATTTGTACTATATATAACCAAAGTATATTTTTGACAACAACAAAAATAATCATCGCTACAAAACTTTCACAGTTTCGTCGTTCTGCTCAGAAATCGAATTCAATACATTTCACCATTTCGTATAATATGTATTTTATACAAGATTAAATGGTGGAAAATATATATATATATAGAAATGTACAATATTATTTATCATTGCGATTCTGAAAAAAAATGTTGTAAATATGGTTGAACTTATGAAAATAGCTCGAAAAAATATTGTTTAAATGTCAAATATTATATTTAAAAAAAATATAAAAACCTTACCATAATTACCAAAATTTACATTACATTAATATTCGTAATGTTTTCATTATGTGTCTTCATTAATACATGTATTTACTTTGCAAGTCACATTTATTTATGTTTGTTTGAGTACACAAGGTTACGATTACTATATTTAGTTAGTAGTTACTATATAACATATAAAAACGCGTCGTCGTATAAGCTTTTTAACTTTTTATATTTCAATTTTTTAACGTAGCTTGTACTAAAATTTGAACAATTTTTCGTTATGTTAGAAGTTGGTTATTGCTTATAATTATTATTTTAAGTATGCATTACATTAATTGTAACACGGCGTCCCAGATATGCATTTTAACTACACTATACCACTGTCATGAGTCCTGTTTTCTAAGTGTTTTAAAATAATAATGATATAACAATATTTTTTGTACTAATATGATTGTAACTGTATATTATATGATTATGTTTTACTATAATAAAAAGTTACAAAATTTTCGATTACTACATTTTAGGTAATTGACCATTTACGTGGTACGTGTTTAGGTTAGGTTAGATTATATTGTTCATTATCAAAACGTTTTCAGCATTGAAATTAATTAGACATCAGAGCCTAAATATTGAAAATGCGGATTTGATAAGTTAGCAAATATACACAATTATTCACGGATATAATATCTAATTATTTTTCTGTTGATCAATTATGTACATAATTACGTAAAACAATTCTCATCTGATGATCTGTACTATACTGGAATATATCATTGAAAAAGTGCGTAGTTGCATAGGAATATACTTTCATTATATCTATTGTTTCTTTAATACTTGTATATCATAAAGTCTTAGATATTTTATGTAACTCAATTAGTTTATTAGAATTAAAGTAAATGTCTAATAGATAATATTATTATCGTATAATAACTAGCTTGGTATATAGAACGTTATCACTTTGACTGACTCTATAAGTTGTATTAGATTAAAATAATTTTTTTTTCATAGTAAATTTCTAAAATGTGTTATTGTGTCATTATATGCCGTTAAAGATTTAACATACAGTTTAACGGTTTTTTTTTTATTTTGTATAGCAAAATAAAATATTCAACATTTATTTTAAAAAATCAGTGAAATATGTATTGTTAAAAATTATCATTAAATTTATGTTTTTATGAATAAAGTTCTCCTGTTTTTATTAATTTGTTATTATTTTTTTATTGATATTTGTTTAAAACTGAATCAGTAATGATTATTATAAAAGTATTGTATTTAGGTACATGTTATTTTATTATTAGGTTTGATAGATTACAATAATGGTACTTAATTAAAAGAAAAAGTTTAATGGAAAAAAATTGTTATTGAATTCGACTAATTCGAGTATTTTTTTAAAAAAAGTTTGTTAAATAAATTGTTTGGTTTTAAAAACTTAATGATTGAATTGTTTTAGTTTGTATGTGATCTAAGAAATGAGTCGTGGTTTTTAGATATTTTAAGATCAAGTTGGTCCTGATGGA